TCGCCTATGACATATTTATTTTAAAGCCACACACTCAGTGTTGTTGTTATTGACACGACACGTGCCGATGTTGTTGTTGTTGTTGGTGTTGATTGTGCACCACTGATAACGCAGCAGCAGCAGCAGCAACAACAATCACCAAAATAATATCATTGACATTTGAGATGTTCTGAATCGGCCTTTTACTCTGCAACGTAAGGGCGGGGCGTGGGCTCACGAATCGTTGGATCCTCATTAAATCTGCATTTAATCAACAGAACGAATTGAAAGGAACATCGTCGTTCTACACGCGCTGCCTTGAACATGTGGAGCCAACGCAACTCTCGCGCCGTGAACTTCCCACCCTGCACGGGAAATTGATCTGCGGTGGGGGAGGAGGGGGCCACGGGGGGAGCGGTGGGGGCCAGGGGGGAGCGCGGGGGAGGGATGGGGGGCGCAGGGGAGGGGTGGGGGCATGGGGGGGGGGCGGGGTGGGGGCATGGGGGGAGGGGTGGGGGTATCTCTCCCGTCTCTCTCTCTCTCTCTCGTTTTTCCTGTGGCATTTTTTTGCTTTTTGCGGACGTCAGGTTAATGGCGTTCACCTTGAAACGTCCTCAGCGGGCTGCCACATTCTGACGGCTTCATCTCTCTCGGCATCATCCCGCATTGGTGAACCCATTCTGACAGCAATCTACCCCTCTGCCCTGCTTTGCATAATTTATTTTTTCATTCCCCCCCCCCCCCCACGCAAATCTGCATATTTCATGTAAATTGGACTTGAAGTCACACAACAGAAGGGCAAACGGGGTCATTTATTTTAGAGAGAAAAAAGAGAGGAGAAGAAGAACGAGTCTCTCTCTGCTGTGGCTCTCTCTCTCCCTCCCTCTCTCTAACCCCGCGCGTAAAGAGGAGAATGGAAGTGCGCGATTTCTCTCTCTCTCTTCTTTTTTACGATCAGAGGAAACAAGAAGATGCTCGCTGTAGTCGACACTTGGCTTCGTTCATCATTTAGTTTTTTAGTTTTTTTAATGCTTTGCTTTATGTAACCCCCTCCCCCCTTTTAATGAAATATTTCACAATAGATGTCAAGCTCTGCTTTCCTTACCCCTTCCCTCTCTCTCTCTACCTCCTCTCTCTACCCCCCCCCCCTCTCTCTCTCTCTCTACCTCCTCTCTCTACCCCCCCCCTCTCTCTCTCTACCTCCTCTCTCTACCCCCCCCCTCTCTCTCTACCTCCTCTCTCTACCCCCCCTCTCTCTCTCTACCTCCTCTCTCTACCCCCCTCTCTCTCTACCTCCTCTCTCTACCCCCCCCCTCTCTCTCTACCTCCTCTCTCTACCCCCCCCCCTCTCTCTCTCTACCTCCTCTCTCTACCCCCCCCCTCTCTCTCTAACCCCTCTCTCCCTACTCCATGTCTATGTTCCCCTTATGTTTTCTATGTAAGATTTGTAATATTATATATTTTATATATTATTATATTTTTTACGACAAGTGCTGCATCTGCACACAGCCCTTCCTCTCTCCCGCTCTCTCTTTCTCGTCCATGTCGCGAGTCGCGAGCCTGCGTTGAGAGCTCCGTTTTCTTTCACTGGGGCTCATCCTGTTGTTGTGGTTGTTTATAATCAGACCGCTTGAAAGCGGGATGTTGACATCCGAGTCCATTTGAAAAACGTACAAATCCTGCGCGCGTGGTATATGCTACCGGCACACACAGATAAAGACAAATATCCCTTCCCCGGCGTGTAGCCCACACAGGGTGTTGGGGCAAGTGATGTAGTGAGCATCACGAATTACAGACCGGAACGGCACACGGAGTGGACGGGTGGTGTGGCCAGGACCAAACCGGGTCGCCTTTGTCTCTAAGGTGCTGATATTTACGCACCGCACCAGCTGTTCAATTTTAAGGCCGAGTTGACTTAGCGGAGGCCCAGGAACCGGTTAACATTCGTCACTGGTGATGGTTGTTGTGAGCGGGATCGAACTCGGGTGGTCGCCTTCGCAACACAGTGCGCTAACCACTGCGCCACCGCTCCCCTCGAGACACGAATCCAACAACATCGTCAATCGCCGTTTTCCACTAAGTGTCGGAGACGTCACCACAAGGCTTGTGCCATGCTACGTGCATACACGCGTATAATTTAAGTCATTCGTAGTATATCGATTGCAGATTCTCTCTCTACCGTGAGAAGAGAGTGTGTGTGTGTGGACTGTGCCGTGTATGTGTGTGGACTGTGCCGTGTGTGTGTGTGGACTGTGTCGTGTGTGTGGACTATGCCGTGTGTGTGGACTATGCCGTGTGTGTGTGTGGACTGTGCCGTGTGTGTGTGTGGACTGTGCCGTGTGTGTGTGGACTGTGTCGTGTGTGTGTGTGGACTGTGCCGTGTGTGTGTGGACTGTGCCGTGTGTGTGTGTGTGGACTATGTCGTGTGTGTGTGGACTGTGTCGTGTGTGTGTGTGTGGACTCTGCCGTGTGTGTGTGTGTGGACTGTGTCGTGTGTGTGTGTGGACTGTGCCGTGTGTGCGTGTGGACTGTGCCGTGTGTGTGCGGACTGTGCCGTGTGTGTGTGTGGACTGTGCCGTGATCGATGCCCGGGTGCGTTATGTATGCCGATGATTTGATAATAGCTGCTCATTCAGAGGAAGAGTTGGAGACGCTGTTGCTGAGACTGGAGCGTGCAACTAAGAGATGGGGCCTTACCATCAGCCCCACCAAAACTAAGCACCTGCCTGGGTATTTTGTACCATCGGACACTCCACCCCCACAACTTCCAATCGGTGATGGGGCAGTTGTGGAGAGAGTGGAGAGTTTCCCATACCTGGGCAGTGTGCTTATGACCAGCTCCAGTTTAACAACAGAGGTCTCACTCCGAATCAGTCGAGCGGCAATATCTTTTCATCGATTGCGTAATGCTGTGTGGAAGCTACCTGATCTGTCGCTCCGCACTAAGCTTCAGGTCTTCTCGGCCACGGTCATTCCCTCCCTTCTCTACGCTTGCGAAACGTGGACCCCCTTAATGGAGCATCTTCGCTGGTTGGAAACATTTAGGCAGGCCTGCCTACGATCCATCCTGGGTTTAACCAGGCTGGATTGTATGAGGAGCTCACAAATCCTTGAAAGATCTGGGCAAGGTCCCATCGGTGAGCTCCTCCGGCAGGCAAGGCTGCGTTGGCTGGGACATGTAGCCCGCATGCCCAGCCTCCGCATGCCGAAACAGCTTTTGTTCGGCCGGATCGAGGGGGCTAAACGGGCGCGGCACGGGCTAGAGAAGAGATGGAGTGATATGGTACAGGAGGACGTGGAGCTGAGTGGACTTGCCAATGACTGGTACCAGCGGTGTCAAGATCGGCCTCTGTGGAGGAGGCTCGTGAAGGACGCTATTGGGCAGTTGGAGGCAATCGCCCTCCAACAACAACGGTGGGCGGAGGAGCGACGATCACAACAACGAGCGGAGCGCCGGGTGGCTAAAGCACAGCAGGTTGGCACAGTAGGGGGCACAGGTGGTGCACCAGCCAGTCATCTCAGTCAGTCGACCCGTGGCACCTGGGTCTGCCCCGTGACCTCCTGCCCGTGGGCGTTCGACACTTCACGTGGCCTCAAGGTGCACATGGCCTGGCACAAGCGTCGTGGTGACGTCACCGCCACTCAGTGGCGAATGGCGGTTGTTGTACCGTGTGTGCGTTTGTGTGCGTGCGTGTGTTTGCTGGGGAGCGGTAGTGCAGTTGTTCGCTCGCTGCGCTACGATCCCGGCCGCCCGACTTCGATTCCGGCTCACGGTCACGACGAATGATAATTATCTGAACCAACCTTTGGCCTCCACTAGGTCGACAAACCTAAAATGAGTACTTGGTGCGGTGTGTGAACATCGCCATTGGGGAGACAAAGGCGGCCGGAGCGTGGTGGTGGCCACCCACCGCCACGTGTGCCGCGCAGCCCTTCATAGGTGCTCGCTAACAGTACTTGCTCCTATAGTACGCTAAGGCTACACGGGGGATCTTTGCCTTTGTGTGTGTTGAGAGCACGCCACCGGGCTGGCATGCGCATGCGTTGCACGGCGAGCCCGCGCGCCTCCCACATTGCGTGTGGGTCCGGCACCTCAAACGCACACTGCGCTCGCGTTAATTAGGCCATTAATTACACCACTCTGTTCATTCATGCTTGGGGTTTTTTTTCTTCCCTTTAACTATTCCAGTGAATCGCCACCACCAGCACCAGCGTGCGCTCCTAATTGCCACTCTTTTGCTGCATCATTTGCTGCCACGTGTCTCTGATGCGCGCGTGCGCCCGGAGCGGTGGCGCAGCGGTTAGCGCGCCGCGCGCCGAACCGGGCGAACTGCGTTGAATTCCCGCTCACGGCAAACACCAGTGACGATAATCTGAACCGGTCCTGAGCCTCCCCTAAGTCGACTCAGCCTGAAATGAGTACCTGGTGCGGTGTGTAAACATCGCCACCGTCGTCCGTGGTGCTGGCCACCCACCCCCTCGTGTGCCGTCCCGGCCTTTAAAGGTGCTCGCTAACAGCACTTGCCCCTACAGTCTGTTAAGGATATACGGGGGATATTTGTCTTTGACATTAAATACATATATATCTAATCGCCAATGTTTCGGGCAATGGCCCTTATTCATAACACATCACCACCCGACACGATTTTGTGACATTTACAAATATTTTATTAATATTTGTAAAATGTTTGGGGGAACGGTGAGGTTCAAAGGATGCGTGTGGCCTGAACATTAATTAATTAATTTCAACGACACGGATCCCACATTTGTAATTTTAACTTTGTAGTAAACGTGTGCCCTCCCCCCCCCCCCCCCCCCCCATACACACAATAGCTCCTACAGCTGTCCCCTCTCGAAGAAGCGCAAGTCCGGTGCGAGTGAGGACCCCCCGTGCGCGAAGCGGAGGGGAGGCGCCGGCGGCGGGGAGTCGGGCAGCAGAGCGGCACCACGTGGGGGCACGGACGGGGGTGGCGGGGAGGAGGTGGGCGACGGCGGCGGTGGTGGTGAGGAGGAGGAGGGGGGCGGCGGTGGTGAGCGGGAGGGCGACGCGGATGCGGTGGGGTGCAGCCCCGAGGACGCGTACGGATCGAGCGAGGACACGGGGGAGGCCGTGGCGGGGAGCGAGGGTCCAGCGGCGGCGGCGGAGCGCGGTGACACCGAGGGACGAGAGGAGGGATTCTACTCGGAGGAGGAGGATGAGGCAGCGGAGGTGCAGCAGGCGGGGCGGAGGAGAGAAGCGGCCCAGAGGAAGGGGAAAGAGGCCCGGCTCAGAGACCGGGAACAGCAGCAGCAGGAGGAGGAGGAGGAGGAAAAGCCGTGCAGTGGAGGTATCCTGGCTCACTCCCTCCACCACCACCACCACCACCACACCACCACCACCTCCATCACCACACCACCACCACCTCCACCACCACACCACCACCACTTCCTCGCTCACTCCCTCCACCACCACCACACTTCCACCACCACCTCGCTCACTCCCACCACCACACCACCACCACACCACCACCTCCACCACCTCCACCACCACCTCGCTCACTCCCTCCACCACCACTACCACCACCTCCACCACCACACCACCACCTCCACCACCACACCACCACCACCTCCACCACCACACCACCACCACCACCTCGCTCACTCCCACCACCACCACACCACCACCACACCACCACCACCACCACCTGCACCACCACCTCCTCGCTCACTCCCTCCACCACCACCACCTCCTCGTTCATTCCCACCACTACCCCACCCCATTACCTCCTCGCTCACTCCCACCACCCCACCACCTCCACCACCTCCTCGCTCACTCCTCCACCACCACCACCACCTCCTCCTCATTCCCACACCCCCACCTCCTAGCTCATTCCCATCACCACACCACCACCTCCTAGCTCACTCCCACCACCACACCACCATCTCCATCACCTCCTCGCCCACCCGCTCGCTCTCTGATCAATTCTTAATCTTTGGGAGACTTCATTTAATGCTTTTGATTTCAGCGGAAAGGCGCGAGGGGTCTCCACGTCACACAAATACACACCACGTTTTTTTTTCTTGGTTCTTTCGGTAAAGTCACGTAGAATGGGAATAAAACAATAAAACAAAATAAGACAATAAAATTCTCACGACGTTTCGGCCACAACACAAGTAGCCTTCTTCAGGTGAAGGAACAGAACTGTCCCGAACAGAACTGTCCCGACTGTCCCGACAGTTCTGTTCCTTCACCTGAAGAAGGCTACTTGTGTTGTGGCCGAAACGTCGTGAGAATTTTATTGTCTTATTTTGTTTTATTGTTTTATTCTCATTCTACGTGACTTTACCGAAAAAACCAAGAAGATGAATCCTTGCAGTCACGAAAGCTTTAAATCGGAACACCACGTTTTCTCATTGAAAATAGGCACATTTCAAAATATCAATGTCCTGGTCACAAAAGCAAAGTTTGTGGGGAATAATAGCCATTTTCTGTACTTTTGAAGCATAAGCAATTAGAAAATAACACTTACTACCCAGGAAAAAATAAAATGTGTTGTTGTTATTCAGTGAGTCATCACATGGAGTCTCCAGATCCTTTTTCAGGAGGGTCCTGTCATGTTTTCGCAGTAGGGAGAGCGATATTGCTGTTGCTACTGCTGCAGCTGCTGCTGTGCCATCCAAATCGAGTGATTTGCAGATATTCCCTTCAGCATTAGGTGGCGTTTGGCCAATACCAGTCCCACTGTGTGTGTGGGTGTAGCTCCTACCTACCACACAGTAGAAGCAGCAGCAGCATCACTAAATCATCTGTTCACATAGAGATGCGGTCCCAGATATAGGCTTTGTAGGGTGGATGTACGATAAGTCCCTCGTTTAACTCGCTGGTCCTGAAAAGTGCCGCGCACAGCGAAACACGCGTTAAGGGGAAACATAACGCGTTATAACGCGGCCTCTGACCGGCCGGCGACGAACTGCTGCCTTGAACTGCGCGGCCGACACAGGAATGAGGCGGCGTGCCCTACGTAGTTTGTCCCGCCATCTCACCGCGTGTGCGTAGTCGTATGTCGTATTTCGCCAAACGTTATCGTTGCATTATTCATGGGGGAAATATTTTCCCTTAACGCGTGTTTCGCTTTACGCGGCACTTTTCAGGACTAGTCTCTGACCGCGTTCTAACGGGTGCGTTCCACACTCTTCTGATGCGCGTTTCGCGTTATTGCGAAAAGTCTTCCTGAATGTAAGAGCCGCGTTGCAGCGAAAACGCGTTGTGTTAAGCGAGGACTTACCTATCGCACCTCAAACAGCGTCGCGTAATTATTAGAACGATTTCCGCTGCCGCTGTGATGCCAGCGAAACTCGTGACACGGAATAACTCGTACAAACACAGCGCGTTGTGTGCGTGTGTGTGTGTACATCACGCAGCGCGGACGCAATGCGCCACGCACGCCGGGAAGCGGGGTAATTACGTTCACGCGCGAGCCACCTCTGCTTTGTCGCATGCATTAGTTACCCCTAATTAACTGTGAGCCGCCACGCGACTGATTGCCAGACCACATGACATGATTGCTGTATGAAAGCAGTTGCATTTATTATTATTTATAATGTACTGTATATATATTATGGTGTATATAATGGTACATATTGTGTTAGTTCGATGCAATAAGATAATGATTAATTCGATTTATATTATAACGATTACATTTATGTGTTTGACAATGTGATGCAGCTGTGCCCTGGTGCATTGCGGGACACACATTGAACAACAATAACAGCAGCCACTCACCGCTAAGTGGCGGTCACGTCATCACAGCGCTTGTGCCAGACTAGGTGCACCTTGAGGCCGTCGCGTTCAGTGTGGAGATATCGCTGACAGGAGGTCACGGGACATGCCCAGGTGACATGGGTTGACTGACTGAGATGGCTGGCAGATGCACCACCTGTGCTCCTCACTGTGCCACCTCGCTGCGTTATATGCGCCCGGCGCTCCGCTCGTTGTTGTGAGCGGAGCGCCGAGCGGAGACATTGGTGCCTGTCTTCTGTTAACACAGCCCTGTAGAACCAGTGGTGTAATGACACGCTCCTATGGCGGGGGCGAGTATATCCATGAGACAACCGCTGTTGATCTCTGTGCGAGAGTGTGTGCACATCGGTGGCTGTGCGTCTGTGTGTGTCACTTTGCCCCTGTGTGTGTCTGTCTCTATCTCTCTCTGTGTTGTCTGGGATCCACCTGTCCAGATAAGCAGAATGGGAAGGTAAAGCCGGGTGGTGGAGGTGGCGGTGACGTTCGGGATGATTACGATGACTACCAGGAGCTCGTGGCCAAATCGCTTCTGAATCTGGGTGAGTGACGCAGTGAGCAGATGTCCAGCGGTCACCCAGCACTCATTCACGGCTCTGGGTCCACCACCATCACCTGCTTCGATTGCTGCTACTGCTGCCGCTGCTGCTTCTGTTACTGCTGCTGTGTCTGCTGCTGCTGCTGCAGTAACCGGGTATGTTTCACATTCTACTGTGATGCAATTTACATGTACGATGGCGATAAAAAGAATAATCGCTCTACACCAGCTCAGGCCTCCGGTAAATCACGTGACTCCCGTGTGGCCAGCACCACTCTGAACCCCTCCCCGCCCACTGTGAAAACAGACGCCGCTCCTCCTCCACGCAGCTCCCTGCTGCTCGCTCCTCTCTTCTCTCCTCTCACTCTCTCTTCATCATCGTCACCACCCTCTCTTCACCCCCGACATCTTAGCCCCGTCAGTCCTCGCCCTCCTTCTCCGCCTCCTCGCTCCCCGCTGCTCATCTTGAGCCCGTGCCCTCCCCCTCTCTCTCCGTCTTGGTGGCGACTTCCGTGCCGACCTCCCTCCCCTCTCCCGCTCCTCTCGCGTCTCCCACGAATTGTCCCCTCGACTCTGCTCCCCTTGCTCGCGGTCTGTCTGACGGCTACAAAAGTTGCATCGTCGTCGTCATTCTCCTCCAACAAACTGCGACCGCTCCCCTGAGCCCGCGTCGAACCCTTGCCGCGCAGGTGAGATGGCGGAGGCGGCGTCGCGGCTGACAGCTCCACACTCCCCGCGCACCGACGGCCTCGACGATAGCGGAATCCACCTGCCGGACGCTGAGCACGAGGACGAGGAGGAGGACGCGAAGCGGCGGGCGGAGAGGGAGGAAGGAGATGCGAAGGAGGATGCGGCGGAGGGACCCCCGGGGGCTCCTAAGCCTGGGCCCCCGTCGGCAGGCGAGGGTGCGCGGCGGGAGGGCGGCGGTGGGTGGACGGCCACACGTGGACACGGCGTGCGTGCTGCGGGGGAGCGGTGGCGCAGCGGTTAGCGCCGCACCGCGCTAATGCACGTTCTTACGTTGAACTTATTTGGCACCGTGTGCGGTGGGAAGGACAACAACACTAAACACAAAACGCAGTTCTAAATAAATAAAAAAAGTTCTCAATCCGGCGACCCGAGTTCTATTGCCGCTCAAGAGCAACAACAGCGGCGAATATCTGAACCGGTCCTAGGCCTCCCCTAGGTCGACTCAGTCTCAAATGAGCACCTGATGCAGTGTGTATAAAACATCGGCACTCGGGAGACAAAGGCGGCCCGGCGTTGTGCTGGCCACCCACCCTTTCGTGCGCCGTGCCGCTCTTCATAGGTGCTCGCTAACAACACTTGGCCCAACAAACCGTTGAGGCCGCACGGCACGCAACAAATATGATGACGCTGTTTATAGAGCGGCGTCGTTCGTGCGAATTCCGTCTCTCACAGCCGCTGAAGGGGATCCACAGACACGAGCCCGAAGTCCGCAGCCTGGCCGTGAGTCGGCTCTACAAACAACTGCTCTGCAGTTCTCTACATATGAAGATGTTTTCAGCCAATTTAGTGAGAGCGTTATTCATACCCGTGGAAGAAAAGCGGGGGACAGATTATATCAGTCCACACTTAATAATAATAATTTCATTTAATAGAGCGTCATTCATGCAATTGAATCCCACAACGCTGCACATCAATTAGCAAGTCCCTTACACGGGTGATGCAACAAACCCCCTCTACTTGCAATTAGAAAACTAAAAGAGGAACAGATAAATAACGAGAGAAAAATTACACGTAACAAGAAAGTGATCATCACAGAGAAGATACATTTAAAATAAATAAATAAATACAGATTGCCTGTACTGCATGCTACTGTCAGAGCCAGGGTACGGCCCCTCCTCGATGCCCACGGGAAGGGAGCCTCATCTGTGCGGTGATCCACCAACCCTGGCTGCTGCCGCCACAGTGCTGGAGGATTAGAGGCAGTCACGGACAGCAGCGTAGCCACCGCCACCACGCGGTCTGAGACATCTCTCGTCGCGTTGTCCACGAGCCTCAGCAGCAGCAGCAGCGGAGAGGAAGAGCAACCACACAGGCGGGGGGGGGGGCAAGAGGAGGGGGCAGGGGGGGTCACTGTGAGAGGCGCGAAGTTGGTAATTGGCTGTGTAATTCGTGTTGTTTCAACACGGGCTCACACACTCCGTACGCGATGATAGTTGCACAGCGTGAGATCAGCAGGAGGCTGGGAAACGCACAGAGACAAAGATCCGCCGTGTAGCCTTCAACAGACTGTTGGGCTAAGTGCTATTAGCGAGCAGCACCTACGAAGGCAGGAACAGCGCACTGTGAGATGCATAGTGTGGCCAATGCCACGCCCGGCCACCTTTGTCTCCCCAGTGCAGATGTTTATACACACCAAAACCAGGGGAGGCCCATGCCCGGTTCAGGCAATCGTCATTGGTGTTGGCCGTGAGCGGGAATCGAACTCGGGTCGCCAGGATCGTAGCGGCGGCGGTGGTGGTGGTGGCCGCTTAACTACGAGATGAACTTCGCCGTGGAGATGTCATCGCCACTCAGTGGCGAGTGGCGGTTTTGTTGATGGCGGTGGTGGTGGTGTTGGTAGTGACGGTGGTGGCGGTTGTTGAGGTCGTGGTGGTATTGGTGCTGAGTGGTTATTGGTGGCGGTGTGGAGCGCTCATCGTGTTGTGCCGCGTGTTGTGCCGCAGAGCCCGAGCGGAGTGCGAGAAGGAGGGGGAGGAGCGTGGACCGGGGCGGCGCGGGGGCCCAGCAGGAGCGGGGGGAACAGGGGGCGGCTGCCCTCGAGGAGGCCGAGACCAACCCGCGATTTCATTCCAAGGTTCCTCATTCAGTCACTCATTAATTTGGGGTTCGCCCCCCCCCGCCCCCAATCATTCCTATGTAGATTTCTTGGCTCGGTTTTTCATGCTTAAATTAATTTAAACGCTAATTCATTCATTCATTAATCCGTCCACTTATGTGTTCATTGGTGAATGAAGTCATGCATTTATCGAATTCATTCTTGTGTTAAGTAGTCCCACTGTTCTTTAATGCGTTCAGTCATTCAGGAATTCATTCGAGGATTTCAATCGTTAGTTGAATCATTCATTCACACAGCCTCTCGGTGATTCATTCGTCCATTCAGTGGGGGTTGTTGCTTTCTGTGCTAGTTGAGCTGTGGTGGTGGCGACGCTGCTGCTGCACGTGGCTGCCTGTAACCCAACACTGTGGGGAGGCAGCAGTGAGGGTTAGTGGATCACTACACCGATGGCTGTGGAACTCTTTTCCTGCCCGTGGGTGGGCATCGAGAGGGAGCCACACCCTGGCGATAAAGAAGGACCGTTGCCCGAAACATCGCCTGTTATATATTTGTTTTAAATACAGCCACACGCGCACATTCCGTGTCATTGAAACGACACGTGTCGAGATGTTGTTGTTGTTGTTACAGTTGTTGGTTGTGTTTGTGCACTACTGCCAACACAGCAGCAGCGTCGTCAGGTAATTTGGCCCTTTTTCATAACAATATGATAATAATAAAACGTTGGGATTGTATTTGTAAGATGTTGTCAGCCGATTACCGACGAGTCGTGTTTATTATTCACGCGGGGAGGAGGAAAGCCGAGCACCCGGAGATAACCCACGCCTTGCACGACGGGGTATCAACGCTCTGTCCCCGTACGAGCAGAAACAGATGGAGATTAGTCCACTTGCTGTGCCGCCTTCTCGTGGGCGAGCCAGGGTAGGGCTCCTCCTCGACACCCACCCACGTGGTAGGAAGGGAGTCTCACAGCCACCTGAGCGGTGATCCACCAACCCTCGCCGCTGCCTCCGCACAGCGCGTTGGGTTAAAGGCAGCGACGCGCACCAGCAGCAGCAGCGTAGCCACCACCGACCGGCAGACGCCTAAACAAGCCGCCCAGTGTGACCGGCATTGTTTGTTCTGCGCTGCGTGGCCCACGTGCCAGACGCAGGTCTCCATCAAGCAGGAGCGGGACGACTGGGGCCGCCCGGTGCCCGCCGCTGCGGAGGCAGAAGTGGCACAGGGGGGTGGTGGTGGGCAGCAGCAGCAGCAGGAGCAGCAGGAGGAGGCGGTGGTCGTGGAGCGCGCGAGATCCCTGGGCCCCAGCGACCCCTGCATGAGCAGCCTGGAGTGCCTCCGCAGCCAGTGCTACGACCTCGCGCGCAAGCTCAGCGACGACACCACCACCGCGGCGCCCCCCGCGCCCGACACCGCCGCCGCCACCGCCGCTGCAGCTGTGGCGTTGGTGGCGGACGACCCTCACCCACTGCGCGCCAACTCCTCCAACTCCGTGTCGCCACCATCGTCATCATTGACAACAATAACATCATCGACATCGTCTCCTGCCTCTCCTCCACCCGCCGCTCAACACCATCACCCCCCTCCTCCTGCTGCTGCTGCTGCTCCTCCTCCTCTTCCTCATCCTCCTCCTCCCGCGCACAGCGCCAGCGCTCGGCCAAAGCCCGCGCCGGTGCCGGTGAAGGTGGAGGCGGTGCCCGTAGAGGCGGAGCCGGGTGCCGGCGGCGCTCGCCGCTGCCCGGACATGCTCAACCTCCTGCGGCTGGAGGAGCACCTGGGCCCTCCCTACCGGCCTCACGACCGCTCGGGCTGCGCCGCTTCGGCCAGGGCGGCGCCAGCGGCCGGGCACGGCGCCCGGAGGCCCTCGCCGGCGGCGGCGGCGGCGGCGTTCCCCTCGGCGGCGGCGGCGGCGTTCCCCTCGGCGTGCCGTGCGACGACGGCCGTGGGGTCGGCGTCGCACGTCAAGCTGCCGTACGCGGAGCGCACGGACGGCGGCTACATCCTGTCGGAGCGCGCCTACGTAGCAGGGCGGCTGCTACTGCCCGAGACGGCGTCGCGAGGAGGCTTCTCGTCGGACGAGGAGGAGGAGGAGGACGAGGAGGAGGAGGAGGAGGAGGACAGCTCGTGCGGGTCGCGCGAGGAAGAGGAGGAGGAAGGAGATGAGGAGGATGAGGACCACGACGATGGCTTCGACGTGATGAAGGGCAACATGTCGGTGCTGGAGGCGGCCATCGCCCTGGAGACGGAGCGTGCCCGGTTCATGCGGCGCGGGGCCCTGGCGGGCGAGCTCGCGTGGCGCGCCGAGGCCGAGTTCGGCGGCGGCGGCGGCGGCGGGGCACGCGTCGGGGTCGGCGGCGGCGGCGGCGGCGGCGCCGGGGGTGTCCACAGCCCCCACGCGCGCGAGCGGAAGCCCTTCGTGGTGGAGGCGCACGCGCGCAAGCACTCCGCCTCCTCCTTCCTCAGAGGTGCGCCGCGCGGGGGGGCGGGGGGCAGAGGGGCGGGGGTGGCTGGGAGTGCGGGGAGCGGTTGTCGACAACCGCACTCACAGCTGTGAGTGGAGGAGCTCCTAGATGGGGGAGGGTTGGGGGCGAGTTCAGTCTCGCTCCTGGCTCCGCCAAACGCGGTTTGGCCAAGACTCCTCACAGATGCGGGTGAAGTGGTTGGCGTGCTTCAGCACGGACCCGACCACCCGAACAACAACATCAACGGCGATGGTTATCTGAAACCATGCTGGGCCTCTGCGAGGTCAATAACAGCCTCAAATGAGTATCTGGTCTGATGTGTAAATATCAGCACTAGAGAGACAAAGGCGGCCGGGAGTGGTGCTGGCCACCCACTCCCTGGTGTGCCATAGGTGATCGCTGGCAACACGAACACTGCTAAAGGCTACACGGGGGATCTTTGCCTTTGCCTTTCTTTGCGGGTGAGGGTGGGTGAGTGAGTGGGTGAGTGAGTGGGTGAGTGAGTGAGTGGTGAGTGGGTGAGTGAGTGAGTGAGTGGGTGAGTGAGTGGGTGAGTTAGTGAGTGGGTGAGTGCGTGAGTGGGTGAGTGAGTGGGTGAGTGGGTGAGTGAGTGTGGGTGAGTGAGTGAGTGAGTGGGTGAGTGGGTGAGTGAGTGGTGAGTGAGTGAGTGGGTGAGTGAGTGGGTGAGTGAGTGAGTGAGTGGTGAGTGAATGAGTCGGTGAGTGAGTGAGTGGGTGAGTGAGTGAGGGTGGGTGGGTGAGTGAGTGAGTGAGTGGGTGAGTGGGTGAGTGAGTGAGTGGTGAGTGAGTGAGTGGGTGAGTGGGTGAGTGAGTGAGTGAGAGTGGGTGAGTGAGGGTGGGTGAGTGAGTGGGTGAGGATGGGTGAGTGGGTGAGGGTGGGTGAGTGGGTAAGTGGGTGAGTGAGTGAGTGAGTGAGTGGATGAGTGAGTGAGTGGTGAGTGAGTGAATGGGTGAGTGAGTGAGTGGGTGAGGGTGGGTGGGTGAGGATGGGTGAGTGGGTGAGGGTGGGTGAGTGGGTGAGTGGTGAGTGGGTGAGTGCGTGAGCTTTTCACTTGAGAGGCGCGCGTCAGAGTCCGCGTCGGGAGCTGTTCACTTGACCTCTTTATTCATCGGCTGCGTCGGATGGAGAAGGGCGCACGACACATCGGCACCGTGCACAACAAGACGATCTTAAACATCAACTAAAGTACGTCATCATGAATTGGAGCTTGGGCAGAGAGCGGATGTGGGTGGAAGAGGGAGGGGTGGGGAGAGGTGGAGAGAGGAGGCGGTGGGATGAGCAGTAATGGAGAGGCGGTGGGAGGAGGAGGGGGCCGTAAGTTCCGTCCCGTGGCGCGTCTCGCCGTGTCTACGTGGCCACGCAGCTGGCGAGGGGTCGTGGGGTCAGCTGGCGGCCGCGAGGGCCCTGGGACTCGGGGCCTCCCCGCTGGGCCCGTGGCGTGCGGCGCGAGGGAGTCACCCCCTGGGGCGGGGGGGTGCGGACGCACAACCCCGCCGCCTATGGCGTCGCGAGCGTTTACGATCCGTTTAAGAGCTCCGCGTTATTTACATTTTATTTATATTTTTTTATATTTTATTAATATTTTATTTATATTTTTTCATATTTTCACCCCTGACCGTTGCCCTGCCAGCGAAGCATCGTCGGCCAGAGGAGTGCAGCAACCCAGGCGACTAAAATAACTCGGGATGTAAATGACGAGATTGATTAACGTCAATAATGATGTCGACTCGAACCTTTGCACCGCCACGCCCCAGAGAGAGAGAGAGAGAGGACGACTCAGAGAGAGAGAGGACGACTCAGAGAGAGAGAGGACGACTCAGAGAGAGGCGAGCCTTAAGACAGCAGCAGCATCAGCCACGTGGTGATGATGAGTTGGCGCTACCAACAGTTTGCCCAAGCTTTGCGGTCTTCTATATATTAAGCTGTCGTCGGCACGAAACAGCGGACATTAAAGATGCCGTGGCGTTATTTTCCGTCGTGTGCCGGCTTCACCGTCCAATTTGACAAATATGAAAATAATGACACCGGCAACAGCGATCATCACCGTTCCTGACAGCTGACTAATGCCCACTACTGGCAGCAGACTTGTCCCGTGAAGAGGAATTGTGACCTTACCGTTCCCGAATAGAAATAGTGCCAATGCACCCGTGCACAGGAGTGGCAGCCTTGTCCCACTGACAGACGGTGGTGGCGACGCTGTTGCACGTGGCTACCTGTAGTCAGGCACTGTGGAGCGAGCACCGGGGGTTGGTGGATCACCGCACAGGTGACTGTGAAACTCCCTTCCCGTGGGTGGACGTAGAGGAGGAGCCGTACCTTGGCTCGACCGGGAGAAGGCGGTACAGGAAGTGGACTAACCCCCATCTGTGTTCATCTGTAAGGGGGTTGGGATAGAGTGTTGCCCCCTCGCGCAAGGCGTGGGTTGTCCCCAGGTGCTCCGGTTTCCTCCTCCCCACGTGATTAATAAACACGACTCGTCGGTAATCGGATGACAACATCTTACAAACAAACTCCTCAATGGAGCAGCAGCAGCAGGACCCTCCTGGCAGTGAGTCCTGCGACTCAGGAGCGTGGCTCTCTGGATCCATCAGAGCATTGTGCATTCGTTTAACGAATATCGGCCTTCCCTCGTGAATAGGAAAGCAGCCTTACAATTAGAATAGCGAACATGCCCCCATGAATATGAACATAATCCTTGCCTCGTGGATGGAAAAGCACCGCTGTTCCTCCTGAATAGGAATTGAAGCCCTTACACATGAATAGGAATAGCAGCCATCCCCCATGAAGAAAAATAGAAGCCTTGCCGTGTGAATTCATGGGAAAAGCAGGATTGCCCTCGTGAATGAGAATAGCAGCCATGCCCATGAACAGGAACATCGGTCCTGGCCTACGAATAGGAGCAGCGACATTGTCCCCGTGAATATAAATTGCGCTCTCGTATCCATGAATAGGAATAGCGGCCCTGCCCCCGTGAATTTCAGTCGCAGCCTTGCCCCCCTACGTGAATCGGAACAGCGGCCCTGCCCCCCGTGCATAGGGATGTGAGCGATGGCGCGCGCCGTGCTGAATAATGAGCGCACGGGGGGATGAGGGGAAGGGGAGAGAGGGGGGGGGGCGATCGCTGCACGCGCGCGGAGCGATGGGACGGAGGGGGGGGGCCCGGAGCGAGGTCGCGGGAGGACACGGCCCCACCAGCAGCCAGCAACCACCAATCCCTGCTCGCGCCCTCTCCCTGCCGCTCTCTCCCTGCCGCTCTCTCCCTGCCGCTCTCTCCCTGCCGCCCTCTCCCTGCTCGCGCTCTCTCCCTGCCGCTCTCTCCCTGCCGCTCTCCCTCCCTCCCTCTCGCTCGCTCGCAATCTCTCGCCATCTCTCACGTGCTCGCTCTCCCCCTCTCCTCTCATTCATTCTCTCTGCCACTCTCCTGTCATTCATTTTCTCTCCCTCTCGCTCGCAATCTCTTAGCTGTTCGCTCTTTTGCTCTCCTCTCACTGTCCATTCATTCTCTCATTTCTTTCCCTCTCTCTCCCTGGCTCTCTCCCTGGCACTCTCCCTCCCTCGCAGCCTCTCATCTGCTCACTGTCAGGCTCTTCTCTCATTCATTCTCTCTGTCCATCGCCTTTTTCTCACCATCACTTACAATCTTTCATGTGCTCTCTTTAACGCTTTTCTAACTCGTTCTCTCTCAGCGCTCTACCGTTTCAGTATATCTTTATCTCGCTCTCTCATTTGCTCTTGCCTTCTTCTCGCTCGCCGCTCTCTTGCTCCTCTCTCGCCATCTCTCTCTCTCCTTGAGTGAGTCAGTTAGTGAGGGTATGAGTAGGTGAGTGAGTTAGTGAGTAGGTGGGTGGGTGTGTGAGTGAGTGGGTGAGATCTGAGAATCCTTCACGACACGCTCACTCACCAACCCACTCACCCAAACATGTACCCACTTACCCACCCATTAATTTCTCTACCGACCCACTCGCCTACTCACTCACCTACTCGGCCACTCCCTCACCCGCCTACACATAACATAACCACCGCTTTTTACCACTAAGTGGCGGTGACGTCACCACAGTGCCTGTGCCACGATAGGTGCACTTTGAGGCCACGTGAATTGTCAAAGGCTCGCTGATAGCAGGTCACAGAACAGACCCAGGCGCCATGGGTTGACTCACTGAGATGACTGGCAGGTGGACCATCTGTGTTCCCCACTGTGCCAGCTCTCTGCGCTTATATACTCACGCACTCACCTATCCACTCAGTCATCCGCCCACTCCCTCGCCCACCCACCCACTCACCCACTCATCCACTCAACCGACTTTCTCACCCACCCAACCCACTCTCACACCCACTCACCCACTCACCTACCCACTCACCCATCCACCCATTCACTCACCCACCCACTCACCCACTCACTCACCCGCCCACTCGCCCGCTCATTTCGCGCGGCTCTCAGGGTTTGCTGGAGTCACCCGCCCGCTCGTTCACTGCGCGTGGCTCACGTCGCGTGAATAACAATCACGCGTACGGTGTGGGGCCACGTGGGGCTGCCACGCACAAACACCACCACCAATCTACTATCACAATGCCGCATATCTTTATATATTTATACACACGAACACACATTGACAACCTCCCTCCCTCCCTCTCTCTGTGCCGTGGCCTTTCTCAAAGACAACGGCGGCGGTCATGGCTTCCTTCTTGCATGTATCTCAATCCCGTGATATTTACTCAATAACTTCCAAGTCTATGGGCAATGTTAGTCTGTACACAATGTTAGTCTCTGAGCAATGTGAGTAGGGAATGTTAGTATATGGGCAATGCTAGTTTATGGGCAATGATAATCTACGGGAAATGGATGTCGCCGTCTTCCTCGGCTTGTAACACGCAATGTGGATTTCAGGCGATGTTAATATCGGGGGGGTGGGGGAGCGGATCATTGAAACATCTGGAGTGGGGGGGTATCGCATTACCGGTCAACAGAGAGCAACCACTGTTGGTTGACTTCCCCACAAAGTGCTGCTGATTTTATGGACCACCCCGAGGGAGGGATGATGATGGGCTGAGTCAACTCGACCCCACAGCCAGGGTTTGACCTCGCCACGACTCGCGTACCGCTAAGCCACGTTGCCGGTTACGTAACGCATTAATTATATTTACTCGTGTGCTATGAAGAAGAGCCATTGCCAGAAACGTCAGCTGTTATACATTTTTCCTTTTGAAGCGACGGTGGTATTGGTGACGCACGTGTTGGTATCGTTGTTAGTTGTGCACCACTGACAACGCAGCAGCAGTGTCACCAATGTGTTTAAAATGAACATTGGCTTATCGATTAACTGATGTACTGCTCTGCCACGCGCACACTCGCACACACTCGCAAACACGCGCACACACTCGCAAACACGCGCAACACACATAAACTCACATACACACACACTCACACACACTCACACACATACACTCACATACACACACTCACATACACACACACTCACATACACACACTCACAGATGTGCGCGGAGAGAAGAAAGAGAGCAAGTGCCCGACCCCCGGCTGCGACGGCACGGGTCACGTGACCGGGCTCTACCCCCACCACCGCAGCCTCTCGGGGTGCCCCCACAAGGACCGCGTGCCCCCCGAGAGTACGAACCCCACCCCAACCACCCCCCTGCTCCTTCGGCATCACCACCACACCCAGCCACGTGCTCGCAGATTCATTGGACTCGCACTATACACTAACGCACTCACTCACTCACCCATCCACTCACTCACTCACTGACCCACTCTCACCCACTCACTCACCCAATCGCTCACTCACCACCCACCTACTCATCCACTCACACACTCCACTCACTCACCCACACACTCCACTCACTCACCCACACACTCACCCACCCACTGACCCACTCACTCACCCACTCGCTCACTCACCCACCCACTCACTCACCCACTCACTCACTCAGCCACCCACCCACTCACCCACTCCATTCTCTCACCCACACACTCACCCACGCACTGACCCACTCACTCACCCACACACTCACCCACACACTCACCCACCCACTGACCCACTCACTCACCCACTTGCTCACGCACCACCCACTCACTCACCCACCCACTCACTCAGCCACCCACCCATTCACCCACCCACCCACTCACCCACTCACACACTCCACTCACTCACCCACACACTCACCCACTCTCATTCACCCACGCATTCCACTCACTCACCCACACACTCACCCACTCACTCACTCACCCACTCACCCACCCACTCACTCACTCACCCACCCACCTACTCATCCACTCACACACTCCACTCACTCACCCACACACTCACCCACTCACTCACCCACTCGCTCACTCACCCACTCACTCACACACTCCACTCACTCACCCACTCACCCACCCACTCACTCACTCACCCACCCACCTACTCATCCACTCACACACTCCACTCACTCACCCACACACTCACCCACCCTCTGACCCACTCACTCACCCACACGCTCACTCACCCACCCACTCACTCACTCACCCACCCACTCACTCAGCCACCCACCCACTCACCCAGCCACCCACTCACCCACTCACACACTCCACTCACTCACCCACACACTCAGCCACCCACTGACCCACTCACTCACCCACTCGCTCACTCACCCACCCACTCACTCACGCATTCCACTCACTCACCCACCCACTCATCCACACACTCACCCAACCACTGACCCACTCACTCACCCACTCGCTCACTCACCCACCCACTCACCCACCCACTCACTCAGCCACACACTCACCCACCCACTGACCCACTCACTCACCCACTCGCTCACTCATCCACCCACTCACTCACCCACTCTCATTCACCCACGCATTCCACTCACTCACCCACCTACTCACCAACTCACCAACTCACTCACCCATTCGCTCACTCACCCACTCACTCACCCACCCACACACTCACCCACCCACTCACCCAACCACTCACCCACACACTGCTGCACCTCGCTGGAATCACTCATTGCCATAACCCCCTCTCTCTCTCTTTCTTTTCCTCTCTTCTCTCCATTACTCTCTCTCTCCGCTTGCTCTCTCCTCGCGCCGTGCCGCTCTCTGCTGAAATTGCCCCGCCTCTGATTCACTGCAGCGGAAATTGGCGCAGCTGTCGCTGTCCTCAGCACGCCGCGCGGTGGAATCCCTGCGACAAATCCCGGGCCGGTGAAACCGGGTTCAGGCCGGGATACCCCGCGGGTTGACCCCTTGACCCCTTGACCCGCTCACACCCCCCCGCCCCCCACCGCAACTCCGAGCGTGACCTTGAACCTGACTCCAACCCTCACGATAATTCCTGCTGGCACAACGCTGCGATCACGACTCGGGAATCCCACCGCAGTCTCCCCGCAGCACTAGCGACAGAGAATATCCAAACCGGTCCTGAACATCCTCCCCCCCGCCCCACGCCCCACGCCTAGGTCGGCTCAGCCTTAAACACGAGTACCTGGTGCGGTGTGCTAACATCAACACCTATGGGACAAAGGCGGCTGGGCGTGGTGTTAGGCCACACCTCCCCAATGTGTGCGGTGCCGCCCCTTCACAGGTACCATTCACTAACAGCACTTGCCCCCACAGTCTGTTGAAGGCCATCCGGGGGACCTTTGTCTGTGCGTGCTGTGTGTAGTATTGGCCATGCATGAGAATGTACTCAAGTGCCCGACCCCGGGTTGCACTGGCAAGGGACACGTGAACAGCAATCGCAACTCCCACCGCAGGTGTGAGACCACTACACACAACGTACACGCACGGCGGGGTACACACACACACGGTGTGGTACACACGCACTTGCACACACGTTCGGGTACACACACGCACTTGCACACACGGTGTTTTACACACACGCACACAATGTACAGAACACCCGCACCTCCAATAAGCGTGGTTGGCTACGTACGGTGCAAAATACACAAACATAAATACACAAACATACATACACAAACATACATACACAAACATACATACACAAACATGCAGTGAGGGAAAAAAGTATTTGATCCCCTGCTGATTTTGTACGTTTACCCACTGACAAATAAAGCACCAGTATATAATTTTAATGGTAGGTTTATATGAACAGTGAGATACAGAATAACAACAACAAAATCCAGAAAAACGCATGTCAAAAATGTTATAATTGATTTGCATATTAATGAGGGAATTTAGTATTTGACCCCTCTCAATCAGAAAGATTTCTGGCTCCCAGGTGTCTTTTATACAGGTAACGAGCTGAGATTAGGAGCACACTCTTAAAGGGATTTCTTCCTTATCTCAGCTTGTTACCTGTATAAAAAACACCTGTCCACAGAAGTAATCAATCAAATTCCAAACTCTCCACCATGGCCAAGACGAAAGAGCTCTCCATGCATACACAAACATACAAACACAAGCAGACATACATACACAAAATACATACACATACATACGCAAATATACATACGCAAATATACTCAAACATACATACACAAACATACACAAACGTACATACACAAACACACATACACAAATATCAATACACAAACATGCATACATAAGCATACAAAAAACAAACATACATACACCAACATACACAAACATGCATACACAAACATACACACACATACATACAAATACATACATAAACATACATACATATACATACACAAACATACATACACATACCTACACATACCTACACATACATACACAAACATACATACACAAATAAACATACACAAACATACATACACAAACACACATACACAAACATACATACACAAACATACATACACAAATAAACATACACAAACATACATACACAAACATACATACACAAACATACATACACAAACATACATACACAAATAAACATACACAAACATACATACACAAACATACATACACAAACATACATACACAAGCATACATACAGAACCATAGACAAACATACACAAACATACACAAACATACATACACAAGCATACATGCACAAACATACATACACAAACATACATACACAAGCATACATACACAAACACACATACACAAACATACATACACAAACATACATACACAAGCATACACAAACATACATACACAAATAAACATACACAAACATACATACACAAACATACATACACAAATAAACATACACAAACATACATACACAAACATACATACACAAGCATACATACACAAACATACATACACAAGCATAAATACACAAACATAGACAAACATACATACACAAACATAGACAAACATACATACACAAACGTACACAAACATACATACACAAATATACATACACAAACATACATACACAAACATACATACACAAGCATACATACACAAATAAACATACACAAACATACATACACAAACATACATACACAAGCATACATACACAAACATACATACACAAACATACATACACAAACATACATACACATACATACATACACAAACATGCATACACAAGCATACATACACAAACATGCATACACAAACATGCATACACAAACATACATACACAAACATACATACACAAACATACATACACAAACATACATACACAAACATACATACACAAACATACATACACAAACATACTTACACAAACGGACGTGCACTCACAGAAGGCCACGGTCGTATCATCCCTTCTCTCTATGCTCGCAAAACGTGGTGCTCTTTACAGGAACATCTGAGCTGGCTGGAAATATTCATCCTGGCCCACTAATAATACCGCGCCCACCCTCACCCCCGTCTCACAGCCTCTCAGGCTGTCCCATAGCCGCGGCCGAGAAGCTCGCGAAGAGTCAGGAGAAGCTCCAGGGAGAACCGGGGGGGACGGGGCCTGCCGAACGCGTCCTCCGGTAACCACTCACGTGGGGACCCTGTGTCTCCCTCACCCCACTCACTCACTCACGTGGGGACCCTGTGTCTCCCTCACCCCACTCACTCACCCACGTGGGGACCCTGTGTCTCCCTCACCCCCACTCACTCACGTGAGGACCCTGTGTCTCCCTCACCCCCACCCACTCACTCACGTGGGGACCCTGTGTCTCCCTCACCCTACTCACTCACTCACGTGGGGACCCTGTGTCTCCCTCACCCCCACTCACTCACGTGGGGACCCTGTGTCTCCCTCACCCCACTCACTCACTCACGTGAGGACCCTGTGTCTCCCTCACCCCCACCCACTCACTCACGTGGGGACCCTGTGTCTCCCTCACCCTACTCACTCACTCACGTGGGGACCCTGTGTCTCCCTCACCCCCACTCACTCACGTGAGGACCCTGTGTCTCCCTCACCCCCACCCACTCACTCACGTGGGGACCCTGCGTCTCCCTCACCCTACTCACTCACTCACGTGGGGACCCTGTGTCTCCCTCACCCCCACTCACTCACGTGGGGACCCTGTGTCTCCCTCACCCCCACCCACTCACTCACTCACCCACGTGGGGACCCTGTGTCTCCCTCACCCCCACCCACTCACCCACGTGGGGACCCTGTGTCTCCCTCACCCCACTCACCCACGTGGGGACCCTGTGTCCCCCTCACCCCCACCCACGTGGCGACCCTGTGTCTCCCTCACCCCACTCACTCACTCACTCACGTGGGGACCCTGTGTCTCTCTCACCCCACTCACTCACGTGGGGACCCTGTGTCTCCCTCACCCCCACCCACGTGGGGACCCTGTGTCTCCCTCACCTCACTCACTCACGTGGGGACCCTGTGTCTCCCTCACCCTACTCACTCACGTGGGGACCCTGTGTCTCCCTCACCCCCACCCACTCACTCACGTTGGGGGCTCTGTGTCTCCCTCACCCCCACCCACTCACTCACGTGGGGCGCTCTGTGTCTGCCTCACCCCACTCACCCACTCACTCACGTGGGGGGCTCTGTGTCTGCCTCACACCGGGCAGAGGCGGACACGAGCGTTGGCGGACACCCGGACGAAGAACCGAGGTCCAACACAATGCAGTTTTCCCGAGCTCAGCGTTCCTCTGTTTGGATGCGTGCGCGCGCGCGGCAGGCCCATGTGCTTCGTGAAGCAGCTCGAGGTTCCCACGTTCGGCTGCAAGCCCAAGGGAGGGGGCGCGCCGCCGCCACCGACGGCAGGGGCGGCGGCGCCGCGCTCCGGCCTGTCGCGGGAGCTCGAGAAGTTATCCAAAGCCTTCGACTTCTCCCCCTTCGGCCCGGCGCACTCCGCGGCGGCGGCCGCGGCCGCGGCGGCGGCGGCGGCCGCCGTCTCGGCGTTTGGGAAGCGAGCGATCGCGCCCAAGCTGCCGTCTCACAGCAAGCCTTACGACGGTGAGCAGCGGGGGTGGCACGGCGTGGGTGGCACGGCGTGGGTGGCACGGCGTGGGTGGCACGGTATAGGTGGTACGGTGTGGGGGACATGGCGTGGGTAGCACGGTTTGTGTGGCACGGTATAGGTGGCACGGTGTGGGGGACACGGCGTGGGTGGCACGGTGTGGGTGGCACGGCGTGGGTGGCACGGCGTGGGTGGCACCGTGTGGGTGGGATGACATGGCTGGAACGGCGTGGGTGGAACGCTGCGGGTGGCACAGTGTGGGTGGCACGGTGTGGGTGGCACGGTGTGGGTGGCACGGTGTGGGTGGCACGGTGTGGGGGACACGGCGTGGGTGGCACGGCGTGGGGGACACGGCGTGGGTGGCACGGTGTGGGTGGCACGGCGTGGGGGACACGGCGTGGGTGGCACGGCGTGGGGGACACGGCGTGGGTGGCACGGTGTGGGTGGCACGGTGTGGGTGGCACGGCGTGGGTGGCACGGTGTGGGTGGCACGGCGTGGGTGGCACGGCGTGGGGGACACGGCGTGGGTAGCACGGTGTGGGTGACACTGCCGGCAAACACAGCAGCTGGTATAAATAGTGCAGTAGCTGAGTCGTAACAACAATACCACCACCACCAACTCCAACCTGAACAACAAAACCAACACGATCAATGACCCTCACGCAACGCATAACCTCGACTCTTGCCCTAACCCCAACTAATAGGATGTGTAAGTATACTATTAGATCTTTCGGTAAAGTCACGTAGGTTAAAATAAAAAAATAAAATTAATCAAATCAGAGTATGGATCATTGCAGTCACGAAAACTTAAAATATATGTGTAAGTATAGTTGTGTTGTTGTTAGGGGTAGAGTTGGGGGCTGAGCCACACAATAACAATCGGCGCCTCGTTAAATTCGTGTACACCATGTGACAAGTTCATGTGTTTGGCTGCGTCGGGTGGTGGAGTGTCTCACGACACAGATTTGGCCGGATCACGACACAGCCTCACCCAAACATCTCTTACGATTCGTATTCCTCGGTGGCCTTGGGCCGCATCGTGCCGACGAGCGCAGAGCTTTGGGCAATCGCCGGGGAGCGGCGACCCGCGGCTCGGCTGCCGCCTTCAGTCCAGACCTCGCCCGTGGCAGGGGCCCCACGCCGACTGCGGACGTCTCCCGGCGGCCTGGGCGGCCGCGCGTGACGCTGTCTCTCCCCCCCCCCCCCCCCTGCGCGCGTGCGGTTTGCGCCGGGCCCCCCGCAGTGAAGCCGCTGGCGCAGGGCCCTGCCGCGCGCCTCTCGTCCTACGCCTTCAGCAAGGGCCCCTGCTCGGGGCCCGACTTCGGGGCCGACGCCGCCGCCGCGGTGGCCGCGGCCGACCACATGGCAGCGGCGGCGGCCATCCTCAACTTGTCGACGCGGTGCCGCGAGCTCCCGCAGAACCTGTCAACTCGCGCGCACCCAACATCGCCACCGCCTCACGCTCTCCCCTCCTCTTCCGCCTCCTCCTCCTCATCCTCATCCGCTACCACCTCCTCCTCGAGCTCGTCCTCGCTCGCCGCACCACCACCAGCAACGGGAGTGGCGCAGCAGCAGCTCATCGGGGTGAGACGCGTGTAGAGTTGCCTCCCGTTTGTATTGGCGCTGTCTAAGTCAGCCTCATCCCCCGTAAACCACGTGGCTTCTATGTGTGACCACCACCACTCTGAACCCATCCCCCCCCCCCCGCCCACTGTGACGACAGACGCCGCTTCTCCTCCGTGCAGCAGCAGCAGAGTCGAGGCACTGCCGCAGCCTCTCCCTCCTCCCTCTCCTCGTCTCTCCTGACCCATCTGTGCTTCCGTTTCTCTGCACCTTTATCCACCCGCTTCCTCTGACCCCCGCTCTCTCTCTCTCCTCTGTTCCCGTTTCCTGCCCTTTTCCCGGTTCATTCCTTCACCTTCCCGTGGTGACGCGGCCATGGTGACACAGTTGCTGGTTTATTCCGAAACCAAAATCGTTCTTTCTCCTGGGGAGAGTGGTTAGCGGACTTCACTGTGAGCCCAACCCGCCGATCAGAGTTCTATTCTCGCTCACGGCCAATGTCTCAACCAGTCCTGGGATTCACCTAGGTCGACAAAGCCTTAATTGGGTACCTGGCACGGCGTGTAAAACACCAGAACCACGCCCGACCACCTTTGTATTCCGAGCGGCAATGTTTAGGCACCATACCAGGTACTAACTTGAGGCTGAGTCGACCTTCTGGGAGGCCCGGGACCGGTTCGCATATTCGCCACCCTTAATGGTCGTGAGCGGTAATCGAACTCGAGTCGCTCGGGATTGTAGCGCTGCGCGCAAACCATCGTGTTTGTAAACACACACACGTAAACACATACACACACACGTGTACGTGTGTGTATGTGTGTGTACGTGTGTGTGCGTGTGTTTACAAACACAATGGGCCGTGATTAGTTTGGCGCGTTCACCACTGCTTGAAACTTCAAAAGCCCTTCTGCAGATGACCCCAAAATGTCAGGCCTCATCTCTATAACCAACACACAGGCGTTGAGTCGTGTAAACAGAAGCTGCGGAGGGGGCTGGAGTGGGGGGGGGCGAAGGATGGATGGGGGTGGGGAGAAAACTGGAGAGAGGTGGTGGTCGTAGATTCAAGTTGTTTATCAGTTTCAGGATGATGAGTGTTATCTCAGTAGTGGGGGGGCGAGCAGGTCGGGGGGCAGATAGTTGTTTTTCCATCGAGGGGTGGTGAGAGAGAAGCGGGCGAGGGGCATTATTATTATTATTATTGTTGTTGTTGTTGTTATTTCAAAGGTCACTAACCTGGACCGGGAGCGTGCATAGCATCCGAGGAGGAGGAGGAGGCTGCGCTGTGCATCAATTACCGAGATTAGCGCCACGGCCACCGCGAGCGAGCGAGCGAGCGCCGTTTGCGAGGGTTGGGATCGCGCGTGAATTATTTATGGGGGCCGAGCGCCCCCCCCCCCTCCCCGCGTCATCAAAGGGAGGGCTGTGACGCGGGGCCACAGCGACCAATGGCGCGGGGCCTCGCTGACGGCTCTCAACGCCGCGCGCGCTGCCTCGTGTCGCGTGGCTAATGGGGGCGATGGATTCACGGCCACGTCCACTCGTTTAGTGCTCGCTGCTCTTTTTCCCCGCGTTTATAATTTTCTCCGCTTTGTGCCGCCTCGATTGGGTTTATAGCACGCGCGCGTGCGTGCTGTTGTTGTTGTGGTGGTTGTGTTTGTTTTTGTTTTAATAAGTCATGCATTTGAGTGCCTTTGATGATTTTGACTAATGTTTTCTGAAGCCTCTGTGTGAATATTATTATTATTATTACAATTGTTTTGTTCTTCAACCTTTTTAACTCCACGGCCCGCACACACTCGCATTGCCTGGTGGGTGCGTGGGTGGGTGCGTGGGTGGGTGGCTGGGTGGGTGGGTGGTGGGACGAGGAGGTGGGGGGTACAGCGAGGAACGGCGCCTGCCGCTCGCCCCCCACAGCGGAGTGGAAGTCGCGACGACGGAGAGGGCCGTCGTGCAGCGGCGGAGAGCTCACGGCTGCTGATGGCAACAGTGAGGGGTGACGATGACGGCTCACCCTCGTGTCTTTCCCCCCTCCACCACCACCCACCCCACCGCCCCCACTGCAGCACCCCCAGCTCATCGAGGTGGACGAGAACGGGACGCTCGACCTCAGCCTGAAGAAGGCTCGTCCATCGGCCATCGCCACCGCGGCGCCCGGCGAGGGAGGAGCGGGAGGAGGAGGCGGCGGCGGAGGGGGCCGCTCGCCCAGCCCCCCCTGCGAAGGGGGGGCCCCGCTCCCGCGTCACGGCTCCCCCGCGCCCCTCGCTGTAGCGGGGGCGGGGCGCGTGAACCGCTACGCGCACCTCCCCGACGAGCCCGAGGGTTGGGACGGCCCCGTGGACTACACCAAGCTGGGGCGTGCCGAGGTGAGGGAGGCTCGCTCACCGCTCACCGCTCATCGCTCACCGCTCACCGCTCACTCGCTTACCGCTCACTCGCTCACCGCTCACCGCTCACTCGCTCATCACTCACTCGCTCTCCGCTCACTCGCTCACTCGCTTACCGCTCACTCGCTCTCCATACACTCGCTCACCGCTCACTCGCTTACCGCTCACTCGCTCACCGCTCACCGCTCACTCGCTCACCGCTCACTCGCTCATCACTCACTCGCTCTCCGCTCACTCGCTCACTCGCTCATCGCTCACCGCTCATCGCTCACCGCTCACTCGCTGACCGCTCATCGCTCACCGCTCACTCGCTCACCGCTCACCGCTCACCGCTCACTCGCTCACCGCTCACCGCTCACTCGCTCACCGCTCACTCGCTCACTCGCTCATCGCTCACCGCTCATCGCTCACCGCTCACTCGCTCACCGCTCATCGCTCACCGCTCACTCGCTCACCGCTCACCACTCACCGCTCACTCGCTCACTCGCTCTCTGCTCACTCGCTCACTGCTCACTCGCTTACCGCTCACCGCTCACCGCTCACCGCTCACTCGCTCACCGCTCACCGCTGACTCGCTCACCGCTCACTCGCTCACCGCTCACTCGCTCTCCGCTCACTCGCTCTCCGCTCACTCGCTCACCGCTCACCGCTCACTCGCTCACCGCTCACCGCTCACTCGCTCACCGCTCACCGCTCACTCGCTCACCGCTCACAGCGGTGGAGATGGTGGTGATAGCGCCGGGGGTGGTGGCGGTGCTAGTGGTATAGATGCAATGGGAGGATGATCGATGTCCGGTTGCGGTCAAGGGATGGCTCCCTACTGGTAAACCATGTTATGTACGCTGATAATTTTGTGATTGCTGCTTATTCTGAGAAGGAGTTGGAGGTTCTGTTGCTGGAGCGTGACAAATTGCCTAGCACATGTCTAGGTAATTTGTATCACCTAATACTCAACCCCCTCAACTCCCCACGAGTCATGGGGAGAGAGTGCTGAAGATTCCGTACCTAGGTAGTGTGCTTATAACCAACTCCGGTTTGGCGGCAAAGGTCTCACTCCGACTCAGTCAAGCGGCAGTATCTTTTCGTCAGTTGCGTAACGCCGTGTGGTAGTCACGTGGTCTGTCGTTCCATGCGAAAATTTTCTTGGGCACAGTCATGTCCTCCCTTTTCTTTGCTTGCGAAATGTGGACCCCTCTAATGGAACATCTGTGCCGGTGTGAAACTTTCAGGCTGGCCTACCTACGAGCTATGCTGGGTTTAACCAGGCTGGATTGTGTGAGGAGCTCACAAACCGTTGAAAGATCTGGACACATTCCCATCAGTGAGCTCCTCCGGCGGGCAAGGCTGCGTTGGCTGGATCATGTAGCCCGCATGCCTAGTGACCGCATGCCCAATCAGCTTTTGTTTCACTAGATAGAGGGGCTAAACGGGCGCGGCACGGGCTAGAGAAGAGATGGAGTGACGTGGTACAGGAGGATGTGGAGCTGAGTGGATTTGCCGAAGACTGGTACCAGCGGTGTCAAGGTCGGCCTCAGTGGAGGAGGCTCCTGAGGGACGCTGCTAGTCAGTTGGAGGCAGTCGCCCTCCAATAACAACGGGGGGCATAGAAGCGACGCTCACAACAACGAGTGGAACGCTGAGCGGCTAAAATGCAGCAGGTTGGCAGAGTGGGAGGCACAGCTGGTGCATCAATCAGTCATCTCAATCAACAAACCGGAACCTGAGTCTGTCCCGTGACCTTTTACCAGCAGCGAGCCTTCGGACCTTCACGTGGCCTCAAAGTGCACCTAGCCTGGCACAGGCGCCGTGGTGATGTCACCGCCACTCAGTGGCGAATGGCGGCTGTTGTTATTGCTGGCGGTGGTGATGGGTGGTGGTGGTGACGGTCGTGATGGTGGTGCTGCTGGTGGTGCGTGCCGCGGTGCAGGGAGGAGGGTACGTGGACGATGACGAGCGCTCGGCTGCCGACTCCCTGGAGGAGCGGCGCTACCCGGGGGAGGTGACGGCGCCCAGCCCCCGGCCCAAGGCCTTCTTCTCCAAGGACGGCAAGAAGGAGCTCATCACGTACGGACCCCCCCCCCCGCACCCCACTCAAGAATGTGCCCTCTCCTAGCCTGCCCTGCCCTCTCATACCATGCCCTGCCCTCTCCTAGCCTGCCCTGCCCTCTCATACCATGCCCTGCCCTCTCATACCATGCCCTGCCCTCTCATACCATGCCCAGCCCTCTCATACCATGCCCTGCCCTCTCATACTATGCCCAGCCCTCTCATACCATGCCCTGCCATATCATACCCTGCCCTGCTATCGCATACCATGCCCTGCCCTCTCATGCCCTGCCCTCTGCTATCCGCGATGCCCCATGTCTACTGCGCTCTCACTGCTCTTGCCTTCCATCATCACCTCCTTCCTTCCCTGCAGCCCCCTGCCAAGCCCCGCCCCCATCACGACTCCCCCCACACCCGCACTCCCCCCTTCTCCCGCACCCCCGGCCCACACCACCCCCTCGCCCCCCCACACCCCCAATAAAACACAAAGATCGGCACGAGGCATGCGATGAGTCTCCTCCCCTCTCGGAGGTTGTGTGAATGGTGAGAAACAGAATGACTCAGTGATTGAGTGAGTGACAGGATTAGTGAATACCCGGGTCAGTGAGTGAGTGGATGTGTGAGTGAGTGTGTGAGCGAGTGAGTGGGGAGCGGTAGTGTAGCGGTTAGCGCGCTGCGCTATGAACCTGGCGATCCGAGTTCGATTTCCGCTCACGGCCAACACCAGTGACGATTATCTGAACCGGTCCCGGGCCTTCCCTAGGTCGACTCAGCCTCAAATGAGTACCTGGTGCGGTGTGTAAACATTGTCACTAGGGAGACAAAGGCGGTCGGGCGTGGTGCTGGCCACCCACCCCCTCGTGTACCGTTCCGGCCTTCATAGGTGCTCGCTAACAGCACTTGCCCCTACAGTCTGTTAAGGCTATATGGGGGATCTTTGTCTTTGTCTTGCCACCATCTGCAGCATGAGGATTGAACGCAGTGGAGATGAGACGCAATGGTCAATCCGTAAGACGTAACAAAGGTAGTGACACTCCATTCTCTAGACACGAGAAAGGATATGCGAATGGGTGCGGGCTAAAGGCATCATTCAAACTGTGGGGAGAAGTGAGTGGCCGTGGGCAGGATGCATGGCGGCTAGAAAGGGACGATCGCCGATGGTCAGGAGCGATAGCGGAGCTGCAGTCGGGGGGATTGAACGCGCTCGCAAGACCGTCCTGGGGGAGACGGAGCGATGGAATCAGTTCGTGGGCAGGCGCTGGGCAGGAGGACAACGGCGACGACTTTTGGGCAAGCGTTCATCGAGCAGTAGATTGATCGTGGCCGCAGCTGATATTCAGCTGCTGTTGGCTTGACTGGCGTATGGGTGAAGTGCCGAGGGTGTCGCTGTCCGTGGTGCTGAATCTTCCCAGCGCTCGTGCGAAACTCGCAGGGAACGGGACGTGCAGTTTTTTTACGCCAGCGATTCGATTCAAAGATGCATTCCCCTTGTTTCGCACTTTGGTTTGATATGTTCACCATCTGGCTCGTGTCGCTTCCCCGTGCCCTCTCTCTAGCCGCGTGGGTGGTCCGATGAATCAGGGATTCTTACGACTTCACATCACGGCAGTCCCCCCCCACCCTCAACCCCCACTGAAGATAGGCAAAACATAACTGGGTTGACGTCATAATAGCAGTCAGTTTCCCGATGGAGCCGGGTGGCTATAGTGGCTACGCACGTGGTTGCCTCTCCTAGGTGAGCTCATCCTCAAATAAGTAACTGATGCGGTGTGTAAACAACGCCCCTAAGGAGGTAAAGGCGGTCGGGCGTGGTGCTGGCCACCCACCCCCCTTGTGTGCTGTGCCGGTTTTCATAGGTGCTCGCTCACAGCACTTGTCCCTAGAGTTAAGGCTCTACAGGGTAGTGAATGTGTGTGTGTGTATCTAAGCACACCTGTGTGTATCTGTGTGTGCACAGCAGTGGCAACATTCAGGTGATGGTTTACAATATTCCAGGTCTAGCGGCCTGTGGCACCCTCTGCTGGATGTCTGTGTTCTCCTTGTGTGTGTGTGTGTTAGAGTCTCCACGTGTACCTGCAACTATGTGTGTGTATGGTTCTGGGCCTCCCCTAGGTCGAATTTAAGATAACTACCTGTCGCGGTGAGATACACATAAACATTGGGGATACAAAGGCGGCCAAGCTGGATTTCAGGCCACACCACCACCCTCCCGTGCGGCGCCATGCCGGCCTTCATAGAGTACTCGCTGACAGCTCTTGCCCCGGCATTCTGTTAAGGTCTATACGGAGGATCTTTGTCTCTGTGTGTTCCCGTTCACAGCTGCCCGACTCCAGGCTGCGATGGCAGCGGTCACATCACAGGGAACTACGCGTCTCACCGCAGGTCCGCCCCAACTCCACGTGTCAACCCCTGACCCCCTCCCCTGCCCCATCCTTTCACCCCCTCCCCCCCCCGAAGAGAGGTAACCCCCCCCCACCCCCCCATCCCCACCCACCCCCCCAAAGCCACCACGGCATCGCAGAGACGATACCTCCCGATTAAAATAAAGTTTAACAAAGCATTGGGTACTGCTACTGATGCTGCTGTGTTGGCAGTGGTGCACAGGCACAGCCAACGACAACAACAACAACACCAACAACACATTCCGTGTCAATGATAACTGTGTACGGCTTTAAAAGGAAGACAAACAACTCTGCCACTCTGGTCTATGAAGAAGGGCCATTGCCTGAAACGTCACCCATTTATTTTCCTTTTAAAGACCACACACAGTGTTATTAGTAACGAACGTGTTGAGTCATTTTTTACGAAAATGACATCTCCCTGAAATGACTCCCTATAGCAGAGAGTGCCATCATCATCAATGAGGGTTCCGATTGCTGCCAGCCCAAAGAGTCGATGTATTTGGGTAAACGCTGCATTGATGATAGCGGCCTCTGGTGGCTGCAGACAATCGAACTCGCGAGTCGCGCGCCCCCCTAATAATCGCCAGCGCGTTCCCTCCGCTTGCTCAAACGGAACGGCCTTCGCAGTGCATCGTCAGTTGAAGCGGCCTTGCTTGGTGGACGGACGCTGTAGCCGAGGTGGTGAACGTAAAACAACGCGAGCCCCGGGCTCCCCAGCCCGCGCCGTGTCGCGCGTGCGCGTGGACGAGTAGGGGATTAGGGGGGTGGAGGGGGGGTTCATACAGGCCTCATCATCCCTCCCTCCGGGATCGATAAAACAAGTACCACTTTGTGTGGGAGAAAATCAACATCGGTGATTGTCGGGTTTAAATTTAACGCATCGGCTTTCGCGACCAATGTGATTCGTAATTGTTGATTTTTATTGGTCGAATCCATCAAGTAAAATGCTGCATCGTAAACTTTCCTCCACCCAACACAGCCAATGAATAGAGTTGTCGAAATTGTACCGAATCGCTCTCCGACATCACACCGCTGATGCTGCTGAAGAAGTGACAACTTTATTAATTGTCTGTGTTGGGTGGAGGAGGGGTGTACGACACAACATTTTTACTCACACGAATCTGACCCACAGATCACTTGTGAATCAGTGATCGTCCTCATGAGAGTCTGGCTCCCGTCATAAGAATGTGGAATTTCCACCACTTGCTCCGCAGGGCTGTAAACTGAAGATAAGCACCATTGCCTCAAGGCGCATGCGGGCAGGGATCAATCGCTTTGATTCATGACTTACACGAACGTTGCTGTCCTTGGCCCCTCGGCTACAGCTCCTCCACGCACGCTCAAGTCCCCGCTGTGTGGTGGCTACGCGCGCCGCGTGAGCTTCCCACGGAGTCGCTGCACGAATCACGACCCCGCGCCGCGTCTCGCTGTTTACCGCGCCTCGATGATATCCATCGGTGTGAGATGTCAGATGACTTGCCTGGCTTTCCACTCTGTGCCGCTTTCCCACTTTGAAACTTATGCCTATTTTTACCCCCTCCCCTCACACCTCCCCTCACCCCCTGACCCCCTCACCCCCTGACCCCCTCACCCCCTGACCCCCTGACCCCCTCACTCCCTACCTTCCCGCCCCCTTCCCAATCTCCCCTTGCTCTTTCCTCCACCCCACTGATCCTGGTCGCCATTACCCCTCCTCCTCGCCTCCCCATTCCCTTCCCATCTCATCCCTTACCCTACTCATCTTCTACCCTTACCCTATTCATCTCCTACCCTTGCCCTACTCATCTCCTACCCTTGCCCTACTCATCTCCTACCCTTGCCCTACTCATCCCGTAACCTTCCCCTAACCTTCCCCTACCCTTACCCTATTCATCTCCTATCCTTGCCCTACTCATCCGCTACCCTTGCCCTACTCATCCCGTAACCCTCCCCTAACCTTCCCGTACCCTTACCCTACTCATCTCCTACCCTTACCCTACTCATCCGCTACCCTTGCCCTACTCATCCCGTAACCTTCCCCTAACCTTCCCCTACCCGTGCCCTACTCTTCCCTAACCCTCACCCCGTGCTGCCTGCCCTTCATGCCCCCCCCGCCCCCCTCCCCCACCCCCCCGCCAGTCTGTCTGGCTGCCCCTTGGCTGACAAGAGCGTCCGCAGCATGCTATCGTCCAACTCACAAGAGCTGAAGTATGAAGGTTTCTAAAACTGTCCTTGCCCTCAGCCACCAGACGCGCCCCACAGATCCGACAAGCCCACTCGACTTGTCCTAGCCCCCCCCCCCCCGGTCGCAGCAAGCCGCGACGCACATTGCAAGTTATTTGCAAAGAGCAGAGTAATTATTAATTCTTATTTTGTAGCTTGAATTTACCAACTAGTTTATTTCAACAAAATCGCAGAGAGCGAGCTATCCATTAATAACCTCAGCATAGAGTGGCGCTGTCATTTTGACTTAACGGCCCTGTGAGCGGGTGTCTGTGTGTACGATTCTGTGTGTGCGTGTGTGAGCGGCGGTGTCTGCGTGGAATGGTGTGCGTATGTGTGAGTGTGGGTCTATGTGTGTACGTGTGAGTCTTTGTGTGCGAGTGGGTGTCTGTGTGTGTGAGTCGTTTTATGTGTGACTGAGTGTGCACAAAATCACCACCTCCCACTCTGCAGCTCGCTTGGGAGGTCATCTCTCTGCACAGAACTTGTCCTGGTCTTAGCCTGTGGATCAACAAACGACAAATCATGCAGCCACTCACAGGGGGTGGCTGCTTCTTCCAACATTTGACGCACGGCATCCCCAGCAGGGTCAACCCCACCCCCAAGACCTGCCGGCCCGTTACCGTCTTCTCCTTAAGGATGGCAATCGGTGTGCTGCTGCAAGTTACTTTATTGATGGAATTAAAGTCGTTTTTGATCAGAAGCTGCTGAGGAAATTTCCATCAACTCAAAATCTTACGACCGCCACTCAGCCTTGAAGTGCCACACGGCTCTCCAACCCTCCAAGTGAAGACTATGTTAAAGACTGTGTTAAAGACTGTGTTAAGGCTCCTCATCCTCCAACATGTGAAGTTGAAGACGGTGGAAGTGGGCCTCTTGATTTCCCTCAGCCAGCCGGAACACCTCCATAGGGAATGGGCTCGACTGCATATCCCATGCTGCCATAGCAGCTGCTTGACACACAGTCCTGAACCTCACCCATTTCACTTCGGTCTTTTGGACAGGAGGTCATACAAGGCATTTGACTCATCAGCCTTTCCTGCTTACTTCCACTGAAGTTCATCTTTGGGGTTTTGGGGGGGTAATCCACCACCACGATGCCTCGTCTCAAGTGAATGGGGAGGCGAGCCCCGATTATCATGAAACTCTCAAGTTCCCACATCTCACCGCCACGCTCCAACGACCCCTTCATTCGTTTGGTAAAAAATGGCGACTCTTTGTTGTTTGGTAATTTGCTGCCCTGAGTGGAGGATTGTCCACCCCTCGTAGAGACTGGAGCCAGAACCAGCCCACCGGACCACCTGATTTCGACAGACGTCCAGGCGGTACCAATCCAGCTCCCGACAGAGGAACGGCAGCCTCTTCTCCGCAGTGAACTTTCGAATATTCTATGTGGCCAACCACGGCGCTTTCCTGCTGGTGCTGGAGAAACCACGAGAGGGGGAGTTCAGTCTCTTGGCTCCACCAAATGGCATTTGACCAGAAGACATCATAGACACCCTGGGCTCCGGCACAAGCTTAGTTTAATATTTCCTTTGTGGATCTTTGTGTGAGTTTGTTCAAGGCGGAGGGGTCACCAGACATTCGCACCCGTCTAGAGCCCCCGTTGGTCGATGTGGCGGCTGCGAGCGCCAAGAAGGTAACGGCCGTTGGTATCGGCCTCCCCCCAGCCCCAATGCTATTGCTCACAACCACCGCAACGTTTCCGACCCACAACCACTGAGCAGGTGGGGGTTGTTTTGCCAGTCAAACATCACCGCCTTGCCAGACACTATGCTGAACAGAGGTTTGCGGAGCCTCAATGTGGTGTCAGGCCAAGGCAGTTTTGCACAGACGCCACGTTCTCCGTCCATCTGCTACAGCAGACGTGTAGGGAATTTCAACGGGACCGACATCTCTGGATGATTAACCTAGTCATGGCATATGATACCATTAATAGGCCAGGGCTCTTGGTTATTCTTCATGTTTTGGGGTTCCTGGCCCTCTGCTCACAATTATTAAGGACGCTCATGATGGTGGCAAGGCCAAGATAAATATACGTGGCCTGAAGTTAGAGCAATATCCTGTTCATCTTGGGTGCCACAGGGATGTTCTCTGGCTCTTTAACTATTTCACATGTTTGACTACGTAGTTTCTAGAAATGGTCCATGGCTGTACTGGCGGAATTTCCACTTGGTACAGATACAATGGGAGGATAATGGACGCCTGGGTGCGGTCAAGGGATGGCTTCCCTATTGGTCAATGATGAATCTGGACGTGCTGCTAAGAGATGGGACTTTACCAAGAACCCCACACAAACTAGGCACCTTCCTCAGTATTTTGTCTCATCAAATACTCCTCTCCCTCCACTCTCCATGACATGGGGCAGTTGTGGGTAGAATAAAGAATTTTCTATGAATGGGCAGTGTGCTGCGTAACGCAGTGTGGAAGCGACCCTGGTCTGTCACTCCATAAAAAGCTCCGAGTGTTCTTGGCCACAAACCTGAACCCCTTTAATGGAATATCTACGCCTGATCTTCACCAGGCAGGATTGTGTGAGGAGCTCACAAATCTTTGAACGATCTGGACAAAGTCCCATCTGTGAGCTCCTCCGGTGGGCAAGGCTGCGTTGGCTCGGTCATGAAACCCGCATGCCCAGCCACTGCAAGCTCAAGCAGCTTCTGTTTGGACCGATAGAGGGAGCTAAACAGGCGCTCTGTGGACTAAAGAAGAGATGGAGCTGATGCGGTTCAGGAGAATGTGGAGCTGCGTGGGCTTCCCGATGCCGACTACCAGCGAGTTGTATTGCGTGAGTGTATGTGAGTTTTGAGTGGTTGTGTATGTTTATGTGTGTGTGTGCGGTTGTCTTTGTCTCTATGTGTGCGTGGCTATGTGTGCTTATGTCTGTGTGTGTGTTTGTGAACCTAAGACACCACTACAACTTTCATTATGAAACTCAGCATAGAGCAGATTTGGCCACAGCTGCCAACCCAGTGTCATACTTTTACTGTTGTGAGCTGTGCATGCATTGGCAATATTCATGTGTTCTCCAACAGAATCTCATCGCACTCACCCTCTGAATTGTTTGTGGCCTGCCCTCTCCTACCCTGCCCTCACATACCCTGCCCTGCCCTCTCCTACCCTGCCCTCACATACCCTGCCCTGCCCTCTCCTACCCTGCCCTCTCCTACCCTGCCCTGCCCTCTCCTACCCTGCCCTTACTTTACCATGCCCTGCCCTCACATACCCTGCCCTGCCCTGACATACTTCCCCCTGCCTCCAAATACCTTCCCTGCCCTCTGCTGCCCTTGCCTTTCCCCTCCTGCCCTCTCACTCTGCTCGTCCCCCACTATCGCCGACTCCCTGCCCTGCACCCCTCCCCCCGCCAACCCTTCCCCCATCGCGGCTCCCCCCTCCCCTCCTCCCCCCCAATACCCCCCGCCCCCTTCACTCACCAGGTGCCCAACGCCAGGCTGTGATGGGTCTGGGCACATCACGGGGAATTACGCCTCTCATCGCAGGTACAGCGCCATCACTCCATCACTCCATTAACACCATCACTCTATCAACACCATCACTACCGTGACTCCATAAAAAAAACATCAACACCATCACTACCATCACTGCATCAACACCATCACTGCATCACGACCATCACTACCATCACTGCATCAACACCGTCACTACCACCACTCTATCAACACCATCACTCCAACAGTCCCATCAGCACCATCAGTCCAATAGACAGATTGCTCAACACGGGAGGAATCAATGAGTTGACAGGACCAATAACATGGTGGTATTAGTAGTAGTAGAGTGATAAGGAGGAGCCTGACCGCTGGTGAGCGAGAGATCAGTCACGATAAATAAACCGGTTCGGCAGCCTGCCGTAGGTTGACCTCTCAGCCTTTACACGAGCACTCGGTACGGTGTGGAGACAACGGCGGCCGGACCGGGTTCGGGCCGCGACACTGCGTGTGGCCTTAGAATCAACACGCACAGAAATATAATGGGCGACGTTTCAGGCAATGGCAGCTTCTTCGTAGCACATGAAAGGCGCTCGCCAGTCGCGCGTCCGGGTCTCTATAATTCTGTAGGGTGGGTGGGGGGGGGGCTATGGCGTGGGCGGTAATCCGCGCGTCGAGTCAAACCGCGGCTTCTGATCTCCTTGCAAATGAGGCCCCTTTCATCTCGGCGAGACTGGGGGGGGGGGGGGGGGGGCAGGGGGGGGGCTGTGTTTGTGTATAAATCCGCGGCGCCCATCTCAAGAGAGTGCTTCTCACATTTATTGGGGAGCCACAAACAAAGACACAGATCCCCCCGTATAGCCTCAACAGGCTGTTGGGGCAAGTGCTTTTAGCGAGTAGCAGTACCTATGAAGGGTGGCATTATGGCAAGCACCCACCCGCCTTTGTCTCCCCAGTGTTGATGTGTACACCCCACGGCACGTAATCATTGAAGGCTGAGTCGACATAGCGGGAGGCCCCAGGGTCTGTTCAAATTATTCGCCGGAGCGGAAATCGAACTCGACCCGGCGATCCGAGTTCGATTCCCGCTCACGACCAGTACCGGTGACGATTATCTGAACCGGTCCTGGGCCTCCCCTAGATGGACTCAGCCTCAAATGAGTACCTGCTGCGATGTGTAAACATCACAAGGGAGACAAAGGCAGCCAGGCGTGGTGCTGGCCACCCACCCTATCGTGTGCCGTGCCAGCCTTCGTAGGTGCTACTCGCTAACAGCAGTTGCCCCAACAGTCGGTTAAGGCTACACGGGGGATCTTTGTCTTTGGTTGGTTGGGGAATGAGGGCTCAGAGTTTGTGTGCTTCCGATGGACCGTCGCGCCCCCAGTGGCTGTGAACTCAGTAAACAGCCTCGGGGTGGTGAACCATTGCGCAGAGGTCTGTCGAGGAGACGGAGTCATTCACGCACCCAGAGCCACGGCCGACTGTTGGGGACAGGTGCTGCTGTCCGGCAGCAGGGGGTGGCCAACACGACGCCTGGCCGCCTTTGTCTCCCCAGTGCTGATGTCTACACTCCGCACAGGGTACCACCTTTAAGGCTGAGTACACCTAGGGGAGGGCCTAAGGACCCGATTAAATATTTGTAGTCACTGTGATTGGCGGTGAGCAGGAATGGAACTCGGGGTCGCGGATTCGTAGCGCAATGCGAGAACCGCTACACCACGGCACACCCCCGCCCTACAATTTGAATACAACGCGTTCGTCATTAATACATGCGACGTTTCTTCGCAGCACACGGAGGGTTCAGAGAGGTGACGTTCAATCGCCACGTGTGTCTTCTCGTGTGCTCTGTTGGTCTTCATACAGGCGCTCGGTTAACAGCATTTGCAACACACCGTCCTGTCGACTACACGGGGGGCTTTTGTCTCTATGTCCGCAGCTTGTCGGGCTGCCCTCGTGCCAGGAAGAGCGGCCTCAAGCTGGCGCTGAGTCGCGAGGAGAGGGACGACCCCGAGCAGACCAGGTGGGGAGACATGGGGTGAGCGACCCAGCCCTGCCTCCCCACTCACCGCTCCACCACACCACCCACTCACTGACTAGCCACACTACTCACCATCCGCACCGCTCACTCACTAGCTACACTACTCACTCACCAGCTACACTACTCACTCACCAGCTACACTACTCACTCACCAGCTACACCACTCACTCACCAGCTACACCACTCACCAGCTACACCACTCACTCACCAGCTACACTACTCACTCACCAGCTACACTACTCACTAAATAGCTACACTACTCACTCACCAGCTACACCAGTCACTCACCAGCTACACCACTCACTCACCAGCTACACCACTCACCAGCTACATCACTCACTCATCAGCTACACCACTCACTAACCAGCTACACCACTCACCAGCTACACCACTCACTCACCAGCTACACTACTCACTCACCAGCTATACCACTCACTCACCAGCTACACTACTCACTCACCAGCTACACCACTCACTCACCAGCTACACCACTCACCAGCTACACCACTCACTCACCAGCTACACTACTCACTCACCAGCTACACCACTACTCACCAGCTACACCACTCACCAGCCACACTACTCACTCACCACCTACACCACTCACCCACCAGCTACACTACTCACTCACCAGCTACACCACTCACTCACTAGCTACACCACTACTCACCAGCTACACCACTCACCAGCCACACTACTCACTCACCACCTACACCACTCACTCACCAGCTACACTACTCACTCACCAGCTACACTACTCACTCACCAGCTACACCACTCACTCACCAGCTACACTACTCACTCACCAGCTACACCACTTACTCACCAGCTACACCACTCACCAGCTACACCACTCACTCACCAGCTACACCACTCACTCACCAGCTACACTACTCACTCACCAGCTACACCACTCACTCACCAGCTACACCACTCACTCTCCAGCTACACCACTCACCAGCTACACCACTCACTCTCCAGCTACACCACTCACCAGCTACACCACTCACTCACCAGCCACACCACTCACTCACCAGCGACACCACTCACTCACCAGCTACACTACTCACTCACCAGCTACACCACTACTCACCAGCTACACCACTCACCAGCCACACTACTCACTCACCACCTACACCACTCACCCACCAGCTACACTACTCACTCACCAGCTACACCACTCACTCACCAGCTACACCACTCACCAGCTACAGTGCTCACTCACAAGCTACACTACTCACTCACCAGCTACACCACTTACTCACCAGCTACACCACTCACCAGTTACACCACTCACTCACCAGCTACACCACTCACTCACCACCTACACTACTCACTCACCAGCTACACCACTCACTCACCAGCTACACTACTCACTCACCAGCTACACCACTCACTCAACAGCTACACTACTCACTCACCAGCAACACTACTCACTCTCCAGCTACACTACTCACCAGCTACACCACTCACTCACCAGCTACACTACTCACTCACCAGCTACACCATTCACTCACCAGCTACACTACTCACTCACCAGCTACACCACTCACTCACCAGCTACACCACTCACTCTCCAGCTACACCACTCACCAGCTACACCACTCACTCACCAGCTACACCACTCACTCACCAGCTACACCACTCACTCACCAGCTACACCACTCACTCACCAGCTACACTACTCACTCACCAGCTACACCATTCACTCACCAGCTACACCACTCACTCACCAGCTACACCAGTCCCTCATCAGCTACACCACTCACTCACCAGCCACACCACTCACTCACCAGCTACACCACTCACCAGCTACACCACTCACTCACCAGCTACACCATTCACTCACCAGCTACACCACTCACTCACCAGCCACACCACTCACTCACCAGCTACACCACTCATCAGCCACACCATTCACTCATTCACTCACCAACACACTCGCTATATTGAGATCCATATAAGAGTCTCATAGAGTCACACAGAGATCCACAGAGTAATATCGGACACCGCAGGGTGAGGGGAATGTGCACGCTACACCGGCACCTTGCCAAGGCATCATCATCATCATCGCGCCCGAGCAGCCGTGGCTCGTGAATCGTGAATCGATCCGTTCGCACCGCGTGGCCCCCGTGGCATTCCCCTCCCCCCTGCGACCCCGTGGTGGCTCGACCTGAGCGGCAGTGGGAAGATCTCGCGGCTGATCCGCTGCGCCTCTCACCGGCAGACCGCGCGCGGGCCCGCGGACGGTAGGAGCCGCGGTGAGCTCTCCGTGCCGTGCCGGCCACCACAGAGGCCCGGCCTCCCGAGCCCTGGCGCCACCCTCACGTCCTCATTGTTAATGACTTCTTCGGGAGAGCCACGCTGCTGAGTCGCAGGACTCACTGCCAGGAGGGTCCTGCCGCTGCTCCATTGAGGTGTTTGTTTGTAAGATGTTGTCAGCCGATTTCCGAAGAGTCGTGTTTATTAATCACGTGGGGAGGAGGAAACCGGAGCACGCGGAGACAACCCACGCCTTACGCGAGGGGGCAACGCTCTATCCCCCCCGTACAAATGGAAACGATGGCGATTATTCCACTTGCTGTACCACCTTCTCCTGGCGAGCCAGGATACGGCTCCTCCTCGACGCCCACCCACGTGGTAGGAAGGGAGTTCCACAGCCATATGTGCGGTGATCCACCAACCCTCCACACAGCGCTGGGTTACAGGCATCCACGTGCAGCAGCAGCAGCATAGCCACCACCAGCGCCACCACCATGCTATCGATTAAAAACAAATCCTGATCATCATCACCGCACGATCGATCATTTGACCAACGACGCTGCTGAATTCCACGTCGCAACTGACGTCCCCCCCCCCAACCCCACCTGCGATCGCCGACAGGTGCCCCGTGCCGGGCTGCGACGGGCAGGGCCACGTGACGGGCAAGTACGCGTCACACCGCAGCGCCTCGGGCTGCCCGCTGGCCGCACGCCGCCAGAAGGAGGGCTTCCTGAACGGCGCGGCCTTCCCCTGGCGGGCAGCGGGGCCCGGGAAGGCCGACGGGGTCACGTGCCCCACGCCGGGCTGCGACGGCTCGGGCCACGTCACCCGCAGCTTCCTCACGCACCGCAGGTGGGCAGCCGCCGGTGTGCCGCTGGGGAGACAAAGGCGGCCGGGTGACGGTAGCGGCCCCACCGCTCTCGTGTGCCCCGCGTCAAATCGGTGCTCACTAACGGCGCTGGTCCCTCGAGTCTGTTCGGGCTTTACGGGGGTGCGTGCGTGCGTGCGTCTTGGCACGCCTGCGTTTGTCCGTGTGCGCCACGGTGTTATATAAACATAAACATTGGGGATACAAAGGCGGCCAAGCTTTGGTTGAGGGCCACACCACCACCCTCTTTGCGGCGCCATGCCGATCTTCATAGGTGCTGCTACTCGCTAACAGCACTTGCCCCTACCGTCTGTTAAGGCTCCACGGGGGATCTTTGTGTTTGTGTCTGTGTGTGTGTGCGTGCAGCCTGTCGGGGTGTCCCCGCGTGTCGTCGGCGCTGAAGCGCGCGCGTCTCTCCGGGGACGAAATCCTCACCATCAAGTTCCGCGCCAGCAGCGGCAAGTTCACAAGAGGGTCCTGCCAGGCTCGCCCGGCAAACCGCGCTCACCACGCCACGCTCACCGTGTCGCCACAACTCACTCACTCGGAGAATGATGATTATGACGATGATGATGACGATGGTGATGACGATGACAATGAAGAAGATGATGATAATGATGACGATGTGTTTGCAGAGGTGGAAAACGATGAGGACATCAAACAGCTGGACGATGAGATCCAGGAGCTCAGCGAGTCCAACTCCCAGATGGAGGCGGACGTGGCGCGCCTACAGGCACAGGTGGCACACCACACCACACCACTTTATGGCACAGCACACCACACCACGGCACACAACACTACACTACACCACACCACACATCACCACACCGCTCTACGCCACAGTACACCACTCTACACCGCGTCACAGCTCAGCACCAAACCCCACATCAGTTGGAGAACAATTCTCACCCATCGGTAAAGCGGTGAAGCCAACTCGGAAATAATAATCAGCTCACCGTTAACCAATTGCAAACGTGCCAATTTAATGACAATGAAATTTCATTTGGCTGTGTCGGGTGGTCGAGGATCTCACGACACAAATTTGGCAACCGTTGAACGATTTCGTTTGCAGGCTTCACTGCCGGATGCGATCCTCTTCCTCCTGCCTGCGTCAGCTTCAGATGTCATTTTAATGTGGAGCCGTGACTCGTGAGAGAGATCGCAGGTGGTGACCGTGGTGGAAGCTGTGGTGGTAGCGGTGGCGATGGTGGTGGTAGCAGTGGTGGCGGCGATGGTAGTGGTGGTGGTACTGGCGATGGTGGTTATGGTTGTGTTCGTAGTGGTGGCGGTGGTAGCGGTGATGGTGGTGGTGGCTACGCTGCACGTGGCTGCCTGTAACCCAGCAATGTGAAGGCAGCAGCGAGGGTTGATGGATCACCACACAGATGTTGCTGTGAAACTCCCTTCCTACCACGTGGGTGGGCGTCGAGGAGGAGCCGTACCCTGGCTCGCCAGCAGAAAGCGTAACTGAAAAGTGTGTGGACTAATCTCAGGTTTTCATCATTAATTGGCTGAAAACGTCTTAATATTTCGAGGACGGCGGAGCTTGGGCAGTTGTCGGTAGCACCGGCTCGTCGCCGCCCGGCGGCTGCTGCGGCTGCTGCTGCCTTCCCGCTCGTGTCTGTGGCTCCTCGGCGATCGCTAGAGATGCGATAGGCGGGGACGATGACCGCCACGCTGCAGATCGATCCAGACGTGAGCCACCGATAGAGACAGCCGTCGTGTCGCGAGCGGATCTCCACAGCAAGACCACTCGACCGGGGAGCGGTGGGTGTAGCGGTTAGCGCGGTGCGCTACGAGCCCGATGGACCCGGGTTCGATTCCCACTCGACGGCCACCGACACCAGTGACGATTATCTGAACCGGTTTTGGGCCTCCCGTAGGTCAACTCAGTCTCAAATGAGTACCTGGTGCGGTGTGTATCCAGATCGCCAACATGGAGACCAACCTGAAGTCGATGGAGGAGGAGAACAAAGCCATGGAGCACCAGAACGAGGTGCTGCTCCACGAGCTCGCGTCGCTGAGCCACACGCTCATCCGCAGCCTCGCCAACATCCAGCTGCCGCACATGGTGCGTACACAAGGGGCAAAGGTCCCCCGCGTAGCCCACGCGGGCCGTCAGGGCAAGCGCACGCACGCGCGCACGCACACACACACACAGGTGAACATCCAATCTTGATTTGAAGCTTTCGTGACTGCAGGGAGTCATACTCTTTGGTTCTTTCGGTAAATTCACGTAGGTATAAAATTAAATAATAAATGAAAATTTCAATGTTATACCTACGTGACTTTACCGAAAGAACCGAAGAGTAAGTGAACATCCGTTGCGATGCGCCACTCCTGTTCGTGAGGGCTACCCGGGGAGGGGCCTCACCTGTGTCTTGTCGTCCCACGCAGGAGCCCATAAACGAGCAGAACTTCGACGCGTACGTGACGACGCTGACCGACATGTACACCAACCAGGAGCGCTACCAGAGCCCCGAGAGCAAGGCACTGCTCGAGAGCATCCGCCAGGCCGTCAAGGGCATCCAGGTGTAGCGGGAGGGGGGCACGGGGCGGAGAGGAGCAGTGACGACCCGCCACCGCCATCCGGACGCGGAAGAGAGCTGAAGAATGTGGGGGGGGGGGGGGGGGGCAAACGGAAGGACCGGGGGGAGGGGCGAGCGTCGCTTCCCTACGGCAGCCGGCGCGACACCCCCCAACAGCCCCGTCGCTCGCCGTGCCACCCCTCGCTCGCTCTCTCTCTCGCTCGCTCGCTCTCTCTTGTTCTCTCTCTGTCTCGCTCTCTCTGTCTCGTGCTCTCTCGCTCTCTCTCTCTCGCTCTCTCTCTGTCTCGCTCTCTCTCTGTCTCGCGCTCTCTCTCTCTCGCTCTCTCGCTATCTCAGTCGCTCTCTCTCTCTGTCTCGCTCTCTCTCGCTCTCTCTCTCTCGCTCTCTCTCTCTCGCTCTCTCTCTCGCTCTATCTCTGTCTCTGTCTCGCTCTCTCGCTCTCTCTCGCTCTCACTCTCGCTCTGTCTCTGTCTCGCTCTCTCGCTCTCTCTCTCTCTGTCTCGCTCTCTCTCGCTCTCTCTCTCTCGCTCTCTCTCGCTCTATCTCTGTCTCTGTCTCGCTCTCTCGCTCTCTCTCGCTCTCTCTCTCGCTCTCTCTCTGTCTCGCTCTCTCGCTCTCTCTCTCTCTGTCTCGCTCTCTCTCGCTCTCTCTCTCTCGCTCTCTCTCGCTCTATCTCTGTCTCTGTCTCGCTCTCTCGCTCTCTCTCGCTCTCTCTCTCGCTCTCTCTCTGTCTCGCTCTCTCGCTCTCTCTCTCTCTGTCTCGCTCTCTCTGTCTCGCTCTCTCTCTCGCGCGCTCTCTCGCGCGCTCTCCCAATTGCGTGGCAGAGCCTGCGGCGCCCGATCATCACTCCGTCCGCTCACCCTCTCGCTCACCATCTCACTCGCTCGCCCACCCGGACCCCCGCCCAGCGCTCCCCCACCCCACTCCTTATCGTCAGCAATAGCGGTCTCATTGCTCATCGCAGCATCGCTGGCTGGATTGCGGGGGGGGGGGGCGACTGGGTGTCTGTTCGAGGGGTTGCTGTGGGGGGGGTCTCAGATGTTAGGGAAACTGCAGGTGGCGGACTCGGGGGGGGGGGGGGTTGGGGCAATGGAATTCTCCGCCGGTCTCGGCAGCCCACAACATTTGGACCGGATTTGGGAATCGAGATGGCTTCTTGCGGATCAACAATCCCCCCCCCCCGCCCCACCAAGGAGAGCAAGATTCCTGCTCCCACCCACTGCGACCGGCCCCCGCTACCTCCCGCATCCCCCACACCCCTCCCCAGCCGGAGCGCCCCCCCCCCTTTCCGCCCAGCCCCCTAGCCGTCGCCTCTCGCTGTAACTATCCACACCGCGCTGTCCTTCAAAGTCATGTACTCTATACCCAATGAATGTAATGAACCTTCAGGGGTCAAGGGTATTCAGGTCACAGGGATGAAGAGGTTTTCATCCTTGATCCCCGTAGCATCACTGTGCTCGCGATGCCAAGGGCCAAATCGGAATGAATACTATATTTTTAAGCTTCACGTCTGATGAATGTAACAACTATTTTACACACATTGTCCCCTCCCCCCTTCTTCTCCCCCCCCCCTCCCTGCTCCTCCCTCCCTCCTCCCCCCAACACCACCGTCGCCAACGCCAAGGCTGCGAGTGTATACAGGGGAAGGGTGCACGGGGTGGTGGGGGGCTCGGCGGTGGTTTGGTTGGGGGGGGAGGCGTACAGGCCTTGTGACACATTGGTGGCATTTCCGTCGGGCCGTGACGCGCTCGCGATGGGCGCGTTACCGTGGTGACGCGCTCGCGATGGCCGCGTTACCGTGGTGACGCGCTCGCGATGGGCGCGTTACCATGGTGACGCGCTCGTGATGGACGCGTAACCGTGGTGACGCGCTCGTGTGACGGACATGTAATTGTTGCGATGGGCGCGTTACCGTGGCGACGCTCTCGCGATGGCTGTGTAACCGTGGCGACTCGATTGGCATGTAGCGGCGCTGATTCAAATATGTAACATGGCGAGAATCCTCATCGTTGGATAACAATGAGCGCAGGGCCGTGACACGAGTAGATTCAACAAGCAACCAAATTGGGAGTGAAATTGCTATCGCTCGGCATTATCCAGACCACCATCTCGCAAGAACTGCACGCGCGGCCATTTTATCGCTGAAGACCACCCAGACTGCAAAACATTGAGGAAATGTGACTGTGCTGTGCTGATGAGTCCTAATGAGGACTAAGCCGGTCTGCAGCTGCGTCTTGTTTCACTCGCCGCCCTGTTGTGGAGTGGCCACGTGTTCTCATCGCTTTGAGTTTTGGTCGTCAAAGTGACGTGGCCAACGCGTTCAGTTCTTTCGAGCTGGTGGTCTGGGTAAGGCTGCGTGTCATGAGTCGCCTTCTCACAGCGAGTCGCCTCTCACAGCGAGTCGCCACTCACAGCGAGTCGCCTCTACCAGCGAGTCGCCTCTACCAGTGAGTCACAGTGAGTCGCCTCTACCAGTGAGTCGCCTCTCAGAGTCGCCTCTCACAGCGAGTCGCCTCTCACAGTGAGTCGCCCCTCACAGTGAGTCGCCTCTCACAGCGAGTCGCCTCTAACAGTGAGTCGCCTCTCACAGTGAGTCGCCACTCACAGTGAGTCACAGTGAGTGGCCTCTCACAGCGAGTCGCCTCTCACAGTGAGTCACAGTGAGTCGCCTCTCACAGTGAGTCGCCTCTCACAGTGAGTCGCCACTCACAGTGAGTCACAGTGAGTGGACTCTCACAGCGAGTCGCCTCTCACAGTGAGTCACAGTGAGTCGCCTCTCACAGTGAGTCGCCACTCACAGTGAGTGGCCTCTCACAGCGAGTCGCCCCTCGCAGTGAGTCGCCACTCACAGTGAGTCGCCTCTACCAGTGAGTCGCCTCTCACAGTGAGTCACAGTGAGTCGCCTCTCACAGTGAGTCGCCTCTACCAGTGAGTCGCCTCTCACAGTGAGTCACAGTGAGTCGCCTCTCACAGTGAGTCGCCTCTACCAGTGAGTCGCTTCTACCAGTGAGTCGCCTCTCGCAGTGAGTCACAGTGAGTCGCCCCTCACAGTGAGTCGCCTCTCGCAGTGAGTCACAGTGAGTCGCCTCTCACAGCGAGTCGCCTCTACCAGCGAGTCGCCTCTCACAGCGAGTCGCCCCTCGCAGTGAGTCACAGTGAGTCGCCTCTACCAGTGAGTCGCCTCTCACAGTGAGTCACAGTGAGTCGCCTCTCACAGTGAGTCGCCCCTCACAGTGAGTCGCCTCTACCAGTGAGTCGCCTCTACCAGTGAGTCGCCTCTCACAGTGAGTCACAGTGAGTCGCCTCTACCAGTGAGTCGCCTCTCACAGTGAGTCGCCTCTCACAGTGAGTCGCCTCTACCAGTGAGTCGCCCCTCACAGTGAGTCGCCCCTCACAGTGAGTCGCCTCTACCAGTGAGTCGCCTCTCACAGTGAGTCACAGTGAGTCGCCTCTACCAGTGAGTCGCCTCTCACAGTGAGTCACAGTGAGTCGCCCCTCACAGTGAGTCGCCCCTCACAGTGAGTCGCCTCTACCAGTGAGTCGGCTCTCACGGTGAGTCGCCGTCGCCCCTCCCAGCGATTAATGGCTCCACGTGCGAGTGATGAATCTCTCCACGTGCGAGGATTCCACGCCTGCCACGGTGCCACGCTTCGCGGGCGCGCGCACCCCAGACGAACGCATGCAGTAAAACAGCAGCTCAACAATGTTTATCTGACAGGGACTGGGGGCCAGATTACCTTAATGCCTACGTAAACGCTGAAGTCGACAGAGATTAAGTTGTGGGGCAGCAGTTCCGTGGTTCAGAGTTCTTAGTCCTCGGGTGATTGTTCCTTAAACGGGGGTGCTGAGAATCCAAACAACAACCACAACAACCACAACAACAACAACTAAACAACCACTGGCTGCCTTGACCACCACCACCACCACCCACACCGCGTTCTGTCCACGTGGCGACGCCTGTTTTTGTAGCGACACGGGGGGAGGGGAATCGTAAGTTAAGGGTGGGCGGATTGTACGAAGCGTCCGTGGCGTGTGGTGAGTTAGTAGTGAGTAGCGGTGCTTCGTACTAGTTAGTAGTCGCAGTGGTAGCAGCAGCAGCAGCGCAAGTAAAGTCTTTCGTCCCTTCTGTGTGGGTTAAAAGGAGGGGGAGATAAACGCTGCGTGTCAGAGTTTTCGCTGTGTTAGGATCGCCGTCCATTTATTTATTTATTTCCCCTTGCGTCGCCGAAATTCCAAAAGTACCCCCTCCTCTCGAAAAATATGAATTATTACTACTACTGTTCCTATGATAGTGATATTCGGTATTTTGTACGAAAAAAAACCATGTTTAACGAAAATGTTACAAAAAAAAGAGTGTATATGATGATGATGATAATACTATATTTATTTATTTATTTCTGACATCGCCGATCCCTCCCGCGTCCTCCCATCAGTGTAGGGTTTGTGAAGTCCCCCCCCCCCCCGTTCCCCCGTGCTGGTTGTGCCCCCCCCTCACCTCCCCCCCAGCCAATGCCCATCATGTTAAGATGACAGTCGTGCTATGAATGTCTATTTTTTCATGATTGTACACAGTACGGTAAATGTATGGACTATTCAGGTAGAGAAGAGATGCGCTTACGTTTCTCGAAGTTTCCTTTTTCCTCCGATCCGAATCCATGGTCAAAGAGCGGCGGCAGGAGCAGCAGCATGGGCGGCAGGAGCAGCAGCGAGCACAGCGCCCCTGTCCAGCTGTGTGCCAGCGGGTGTCGTCCACTCACCAAGCCGCAGAGTCTCTAACGTGACGTTGCATTGAGAGGTCGAGTGGTGGGTGGGGGGCCGTGGGGAGGGGGCGAAGATTTCACAGCAAAACCAGACGTTATTTCCTACACTTTGTATCATCGCGTATGTATTTATTATTATGCTATATATACACAGTATATTATACATAGAGGTCTCTATATATATATCTCTCTATATTTAAGGATGATTATTGAAGGTGTGTTTTTGTAATCTCAAGGAAGACGTTCATAGCTGCCGTTGCTTCTGTTGCGCGCACGGTCCCGGCTCGAGGGGGACGCGAGGGGACGTGCAGCAGGAGGAGGCAGCAGCCTGGAGGCGCGGGCAATGTGGTGACAAGGCTTGCCACCGGAATGTGGAATTCCCACCGGTCACCGTGTGCTCGTCTGAAATGGACAAACCCGCCCCTCCTCCGCCTCCCCATCCCACGCCAGACAAACAAAACAGGCCACGTGCATCTTGTGATCAGAGAGAGACAAAGGAGGTCGTGATGGGTGGGACACGTG